ATCGGTGATTACTGTGGAGAAGCATATGGAAGATAGAGAAAGGGGGGAAATAAATAGCGAAATCTTGAAAAATGTTCATATCACAGAGGAGGAGGTGCTGGATGTCTTAAAACGCATAAAAGTGGATAAATCCCTGGGATCTAATTAGGTGTACCCTGGAACTCTAGAAAGCTAGGGAAGAGATTGCTGGGCCCCTTGCTGAGATATTTGTCTCATTGATAGCCACAAGCGAGATGCCAGAATACTGGAAGTTGGCTAATGTGGTGCCACTATTTAAGAAACGTGGTAAGAAAGAGCCAGGGAACGATAGACCAGTGAGCCTGACATCAGTCGTGAGCAAGTTGTCGGAGGGAATCCTGAGGGACAGGATTTACATGGACTGATTAGGGTAAGTCAGCATGGCTTGCGCATGGGACGTGGTTCACTAACGTGATTGAGATTTTTGAAGAAGTAACAAAGAGGATTGATGAGGGCAGAGCGGTGGACATGATCCAAATGGACTTAAGTAAGGCATTCGACAAGGTTCCTCATGGCAGACTAATTGGCAAGGTTAGATCACACAGAATACAGAGAGAACTAGCTATTTCGATACAGAACTGGTTCGAAGGTAGACAACAGAGGGTGGTGGTGGAGGGTTGCTTTTCATGACAGGAGGCGTGTGACCAGCAGTGTGCCACAAGGATTGGTATTGGGTCCACTGCTTTTCCTCATTTATATAAATAATTTGAATGTTGACATAGGAAGTATGATTAGTAAGTTTGCAGATGACACCAAAATCGGAGTTGCAGTGGACAGCGAAGTAGGTTCCCTCAGAGTACAAACGGGATCTTGATCAGATGGGCCAATGGGCCGAGGAGTGGCAGATGGAGTTGAATGTAGATAAACGTGAGGTGCTGCATTTTGCAAACCCAATCAGGGCAGGACTTATACACTTAATGGTAAAGTTCTGGGGAGTGTTGCTGAACAAAGAGACCTTGGTATGGTGTCATCTGCAAACTTACTAATCATACTTCCTATGTCAACATTCAAATTATTTATATAAATGAGGAAAAGCAGTGGACCCAATACCAATCCTTGTGGCACATTGCTGGTCACACGCCTCTCATGAAAAGCAACCCTCCTTGGCTTACCACGTTTCATAGTTCCTTGAAAGTGGAATCATAGGTAGGATAGTGAAGGAGGCTTTTGGTATTTGCCTTTATTGGTTAGTGCGTTGAGTATGGGAGTTGGGAGGTCATGTTGTGGCTGTACAGGACATTGGTTAGGCCACTATTGGAATACTGCATGCAGTTCTGGTGTCCCTACTATAAGAAGGATGTTGTGAAACTTGAAAGGGTTTGTAGGAACGTTTTTCCTGACCCGGGATAAAGACTCAGGAGGCAGGCAGGATTCAAACAGAAACTGGTTTATGCAGGGAGAGGGCCAAAGGATCTTTCTCGAATCTGGCTTCGGAAGATAGATCAATGACACACCCTCTGCTTTTACAAAGAGATACCAGCAATTTTATGCATTTTGTGTTACAGTGGTCAAATACAACGTTGTCATCATCCTTCCCCTTAATTCAAACACCCAATTCTGTGGGACACCTAATCAGTGATGGGCACTTCCATGGACAGCCCCAGGTTCCCATGATCGTAGGGTATTAACTAGACATTGTAATCACTAGGCCTTGGGATCTTCCTATGCATCCTTTTTATTTGCATTCCAAAAGTTTAATGGCTATACTCCTTCGGGTCTTTCTCAGACTTGTTTGTCTGTAAGGATAGCTCAAATTCTATTACCCGTTGTGTTTTGGTGCTGTCTTTTATCACATTCAGTTACTCCTTTTATTTTCCCACTGTCCCAATTACATAATGTAAAAATAAAAAGTCAGTTAGTTTTAACTAATTGCTATAAGGTTAACTTCTATTATAAAATTAATTATGAGTGTAACATTATACAACTACTTCTACTGTCAGCATTTTGTAATTTATGGCTTGTGATCAATCTATCTTGTTCAGGGCATAAGAGGAGGTGTCTTCTAAGGCTAGTCAATCTTTACATCTAAGCTTAAATGTTTTTTTAAGGCTTGTATTATATCCTGGTTATGTATTGAAACCAACTTCTATGATTAGAGCATTTTTAGCTAGAAACTATTTAATATTGCTGGCAGCTTCAAAGATGCAACTATTTATTACAAAATAACTTCATCTGTTATCCTTGCAGCTGCTTGAGGGGCTAATCTAGGACCTGACATTATTCATTTACTGGGATAATCACCCTTTCATTAATAAAGCTGGAATTGGTCATTTATCTGTCCTAAGGCATCCTTTTATCAGAACTGTCTTGGATGGGAACATACAGCATTCCTTTACTGACCTTCTAGCAGTTATGTTCAAAGGTACCATTGTATTTCAATGTGTGAGCATGCTGCTTAATTTTGCTTAGCTTCTGTCTGCCATCTTCTAAACAGGCATGGGCTGCTTAGTGAGTTCAGGTACAAGCCACCTTACATGGCCAGGTACAGGTCACCTCTACAGGGTTCAGAAAAGATTTACGAGAATGTTGCCAGGGTTGGAGCTATAGAGAGAGGCTGAATAGAGTAGGGCTGTTTTCCCTGGAGTGTCGGAGGCTGAGGGATGACTTTATAGAAGTTCATAAAATCATGAGGAGAATGGATAGGGTAAATAGACAAGGTCTTTTCCCAAGAGTAACGGAGTCCAAAGCTAGAGGGCATAGATTTAAGGTGAGAGGGGAAAGATTTTAAAGGGACCTCAGGGGCAACTTTTTCACGCAGAGGGTGGTGCATGTATGGAATAAGCTGCCAGAGGAAGTGGTGAAGGCTGCTACAATTACAACATTTAAAAAGGATCTGGATGGGTATATGAATAGGAAAGGTTTTGAAACATATGGGCCAAATGCTGGCAAATGGGACTAGATTTATTCTGGTCGGCATGGACAAGTTGACCAAAGGGTCTGTTTCTGTGCTGTACATCTCTATGACTCTGTGGTCTATATCCTGCTGTATCCTTTGATAACCTTTGTCACTAACCCCAACTCCACTAATTTTTGTAGTGTCTGCAAATTTACTGATCATAGCAACTATATTTTCATGCAAATTATTTGTATACATTACAAACAACAGAGGTTCCAGCACTGATCCTTGCAGAACACCACTGTTCACAGACCTTCAGTCAGAAAAACACCTTTCCACAGCTACCTTCTATCACCAAGCCAATTTTGTATCCAGTTTGCCATCTCACAATGGATGTCATGCGACTTAATCTTCTGGATCAGCCTACCATGAACCTATACTTCCTGATTTCCCACATGTCGCAGGAGGAGCATTCCACAGGGCCAAGTTCTCTTGCTATTGTGAACCTTATCAACTATAGACAATAAACCAATCACATAACTTTACCCACTACTGATCAAAATTAGGTTTCTCATTTTTGTTTTCTATTTCTAACAAACTCTGCTCTGTTCCCACTGCTACTTCAGCTGACCTTGACCTAGGCCCCGCTTTTCAGATATTTATCTGGAAGTTCCTGCTGCTGTTTATTCCCAAGCTTGCTCTGCTCCGCTCCCGCCGTTGCTCTGACTGATCCGAACTTTCTTGACAAAGTGGATGTGAAAACTATATTTCTTCTTGCAGATGAAGCCAGAAGTAGAGGGCATGGTTTTAAAATTAGGGATTGCCCTTTTAGGATAGAGTTAAGAATAATGTTTTGTTTTGTCAAAGCAGATTGTGCATCTTTAGAACTCTTTGCCACATAATTTACAAGTTTGTGAAATTGTCTTGACCTTTGTGATGACTCTGAATGTATCTGTAGTTTACTAGTTTGTAAAGTTCAAGTTTTTGGCTTCCATTTCTATAACAGCACAAATAAAGCCATCAGGTTTCTAAATGAACCTTGATTTTCATTGTTTTATTAACCCACAGCCAAAATTCTGATTTGTGAATCAAAAGCCGAAGACATGAAGTCACTCGTTTCACAGAATATCCTCACCATCTCTCCAAATGAACATTATGATTGGTGGCATTCCCCTGCCTTTTCCCCATATCCCTGCATATCATTTCTATTTGGATAATCATCAGATGATGGCTGAGAATGATGGTAGCTGTGGCCTATGCTTTCAAAACGGCACTCACTATCTTTCAGGTAGAAACATGGAAACCAGGAGCAGCAGTAGGCCATTCAGCCCTTCAAGCCTGCTCCGCCAATCACCATTAACATTGCCGATCCTCTGTCTCAATGACATTTTCCCACTTTCTCCTCATACCCCTTGATAGCTTTATATTTAAAATATATCTATCTCTTTTTGAATATATTCTGTGATTGCCTCCACAGACTTCTCTGGTAAAGAATTCCACAGGTTCACTACCATCTGAGTGAAGGAATGTTTCCCTAGCTCGCCCTAAATGGCCTATCCTGTATCCTGTGACTGACTCCTGGTTTTACACTTCCCAACCAGGGAGAACTTCCCCCCCTGCATCTAGTCTGCCCAGTCCTGTTAGAATTTTGCATGTTTCAATCAGACCACTTCCCATCCTTCTAAACCCCAGTGAATACAGGCCCATCAAACCAGTCTCCGCTCATGGGACTGTTCAGCTAATCCCAATATCAGCCTTGTGAATCTCTGTTGTACTGTCTCTATGGCTAGTATAATACTCCAGATGTGGTCCCACCAAGGCATGTATAACTGCAGTAAAACATCCTTACTTCTGAACTCAAATCCTTTTGCAATGAAGGCCAATATACCATTTGCCTCCCTAATTGCTTCCCTGTCTACTTTTCTTGACTGGTGTACAAGGATACTGAGAATGCTTTGTACATCAACAACCAGGTAGGTTAAGTCGAATCTGTTTTAAGCAATATTTTTGACTGCTGGATCCAGCTTGATTTCAAACACACATTAGAAACATCTAACAATTAATCTTGAATGGTTTCAGTAATCGACATAAAATTTAATGAAAACATGCACTATTTAGAATGGATTTTTCATTACTGTCTATATAGATGCTTCATATGTGGATCCGCTTGGGCCACAAATAGAACGACCCAGAACTGCAGCTCGAAAACGGGTTGAAGAAGATGAATTTGCAGATGAAGAACTTGGAGATGATTTGTTACCAGAGTAATAACTGCACCCACTCGGGTCAAAAAAATCCAAAGAAATGTCACTTTCATAGATGACATACAATATTCTTGCTTTGATAATGTACATATTAAATGTACTTATTCTATACTTGTCACGATTATAGTTGCTTTAATGTGCTTGCTAATACATTTTATTACATTTGTAATTAACTATTAAGTTCCTTGTAAATATAAAACTTGTATATTTTTGATATTTTAATATTTGTGATATAATGTTAAGGCAATGGTAGTTGTATAATTCTTCGCAATGCATGTTCCATGATAGGCTAATATCTCTAGTTGTAATTATATTTGAATATCAGTGATTAACTATTTAATATTTCATTTATAGACAAGGAAAATACATATTTAGGATTGAAGGCATGTCAACATTTTATTTACTTCTGTGCCAGTGTAATTAAATTTTTGTACTATTTCTGAACATTACTTTCTTATTAAACATAAAATCAAAACTGATGCATGTAACTGTAGTTTTGTAAATAAGCCAAAGCACTCACTGACATTACCAGACTTGCCTTCTATACAATAAACTCTAACTATTTGGGACGGTGCGGTGGATCAGTGGTTAGTACTGCTGCCTCACAGTACCGATTCCGCCCTCAGGCGACTGTCTGTGTGGAGTTTGCACATTTTTCCCATGTCTGCATGGGTTTCCTCTGGGTGCTCCAGTTTCCTCCCACAGTCCAAAGATGTGCAGGCTAGGTGGATTGGCCATGCTAAATTGCCCATAGTGTTCAGGGATGTGTAGATTAGGTGGGTTATGTGGGATGAGTCTGGGTGGGATGCTCTGACGGTCAGTGTGGACTTGTTGGGCCGAAGGGCCTGTTTCCACACTGTCAGGATTCTATGATCTGTGATCTATTCTAGTAGCTCAGAATATCAACAACTATGGATTGTTGCAGACTTCATTGATGAAGGAGAATTGTGACAATACTAGGCTTTAAGAGGAATTTTTGTCCTGGTTTTTTATGAAGAAAGGCTGCGACAGATGTCCCAAACAGAAACAGCCTGAATCGAAAGAATGGCCCTAGCAGAAGGAAGGCCGAAAAAGAGAGTTTTTGAACTGGTTGGAAGAGGTTGGAACTGAAAGTCGAGTTAAAATGGCAGAAGTAAAGGTGAAAGATAGGAGTAGTGATGAGGACAGTGATGTAAAGCAGTCCCTTCATTGCCAAAGGCATGGTGGGGATCAGTTTAAATTTAGGAATTTCTAGGAATTCCTAAAAGCCTGGCCCTCCACGAAACATGCTATTAATAAAAACATTGAACTCAACCCCATATACATTCCACTACGAAGGAAAACCAGAAGTGAGGCAGTCCATCTCAACGGACTCCAGAGTTTAGAAACCAGGTGGGAAAACACACCGACGCTTCATCAGAGGCTGCACTGAGGATGTTACCAAGCATGGTAACGAAACGTCTGCGAAACAAGAAACCAGCTCGGCGAGCCAACCAACCTCAACACCCACAACCCGAGCTACAAATCTACTCCAAAACCATAGGTTTGTATTTCCTGAAATTTAGCAGACCAAGGTGACAATTTGATTATAACATACAAGATCCTGAGGTGATATGACATGGTGGAACTCCAAAGGACATTCTTTTTGTTCGATAATTTAAAACTTGGAATCAAGTTTAAAAATAAGGGGTTTCTCATTTAAGACAGAGATGAGGAGAAATCCTTTTCACAGAATCACACAAGTATGATGACGCAGAAGCTAGACATTTGGTCCATTGTGTCTGCACTGGCACACCAAATGTGCATCCTGGTTTAGTGCCAATCTCCTGCGTTTTCTTACCTTTACACATTTTTCCATTTAAATAATCATCCAATTCAAAGCTTCAATTGAACTTGCCTTCACCACACTTACAGGCATTGCACTCCAGACCTGAGCTACTTGTATGCAAAGGATTTTTTTTCTCACCTCACATTTGCTTCTTTTTCAAATTGCTTTAAATCTGTGCCCCCTCGTGATTTTGAAAAGTTCTGTTAGATCTCCTCTTAGCCTTCTTTTCTCCCAGGAGAATAGTCCCAAACTCTCTAATCTCTCCTTATAACTGAAGTTTCTCATCTCTGGAACCATTCTTGTAAATCTCTTCTGCACCCTGTCTGATGCATTCAAATCCTTCCTATAGTGTGGCATCCAGAACTATACACAGTACTCTAGCTGAAATCTTATACAAATTTAGCATCACCTCCTTGCTCTTGTACTCTATGCCCCTAGTAATAAAGGCCAGGATACTGTATGCTTTATTAACTGCTGTCTTCACCTGTGCTGCCATCTTCAATGCTCAATGCACATACACACCCAGATCGTTCTGCTCCTGCACCCCCTTTAGAATTGTACATTTTATGTTATATTCTCTGTCCATGTTCTTTCAACCAAAATACATCACTGCACACTTCTCTGCATTAAATCCTATGTATCACTTTTCTGCCCATTCCACCAACTTGTCTATGTACTTTGGAGTTCTACAGTGTCCTCTTCATAGTTTACAATGCTTCCAAGTTTCATGTTGTTTGCAAACTTTGAAATTGTCCCTGCATTTTAATATATATCTGAGAAGCAACAGTGCCAATACCAAACCCCAGGGAACTTCACTACAAACATTCCTCCAGCCTGCAAAATTTCATTGACCATTATTCTGTTTTCTATCACTCAGCCAATCATATATCAACATTGTTGCTATCCCTTTTATTCTATGAGCTATAATCTTTCTCACATGTCCGTTATGTGATATTGGACAGAATGTCTTGTGGAAGTCCATATTCACCACATCAACAGCATTACCCTCATGAAATTTTCTGTTATCTCTTCAAATAAAAAATCTCCAGCAAGTCAGTTAAACACAATTTCCATTAGAGAAATCCATACTGATTCTTCCTAATCAGCCCTTTTTTTCGCATGACTACAGATTTGATCCTGATTCACTGTTTTCAGAAGTTTCCCCTTCTCTGAAGTTAAATTGATTGGTCTGTAGTTGCTGAACTTATCCTTGTAAACTATTTTTTGAACAAGGGTGTAATGTTTGCAATTCTCTAGTATTCTGGCACCTCTGAGTCTGGGGAAGACTGAAAGATTATGGCCAGTCCCCATGAAATTTATGCTCTATCTTATAACGTTATCCTTGAATGGATCTCATCCTGGTGTCTTAAGTACCAAAATCTATTCAAGATTTCCTCATTATCAATTTTGAATGCTTCAAGTGATAAACTTTCCTCCTGTCACCATGAGTAGTGATACCATCTACCTTCTTGGTAATGCCAATATTCATTTGATACCTCAGCTATGTCATCTATCTCATAGAACATAGAACAGTACAGGCCCTTCGGCCCACAATGCTGTGCCGAACTTTTACCCTAAACCTAAGGTCTATCTAACCTCCACCCCTACCTTATACTATCATCCATATGTTTATCTAATAGCCGCTTAAATGTCCCTAATGAGGCCGACTCCACTACCCTCTCTGGCAATGCATTCCACACCCCTACCACTCTCTTGAGTAAAGAACCTACCTCTGACATCTTCCCTATATCTACCTCCACTCACTTTAAAACTATGCCCCCTCGTAATAGGAAAAAGTCTCTGGCTGTCCACTCTATCTATACCTCTGATCATTTTGTACACCTCTATCAAGTCACCTCTCATCCTTCGACATTCTAAAGAGAAAAGCCCTCGCTCTCTCAACCTTTCCTCGTAAGACCTTCCCCCCATTCCAGGCAACGTCCTGGTAAATCTCCTCTGCACCTTTTCCAACACTTACACATCTTTCCTGTCTCCATGTGTAAATCCCCCACCTTGGTGTTTAATCAGCCATAATCCTCTTTTTTACACATTTATTTAATGGTCTTTACAGAACTTTGGGACTCCCTTTTATATTAGCTGCTTGTCTTTTCTCATAATTCCTCTTTATTTCTCAAATATGTCTTTTTACTTCATCTCAAACCTTCTGTATTCCTTTGGTTTTCAATCGTATTTTCTATCTGACACCTGTCATAAGCACACTTTTTCTTTTTTACCTTAATATCTATCTCCTTTTGTTATTAACGGAGGTTTGGATTTGTTACCTTACACTTATGAGAGAATATACCTTGACTATACCTGAACTATCTCCTCTTTGAAGGTAGTCCATTGCTCGTTTACAGTGTCTCTTGCCTTTCATTCCTAACTGTCTTGCACAGATCCATTCATACCCCATTGAAGTCAGCTCTCCACAACTGATTTTTCTTACTCTGAATTGACCATTGTCACTCTACTCAATCATTCTAAGCCTTATGTTACAACTATCATTATCTCCTAACTGTTGCCCCACTGACACTCAATCCACTTTTCCCATCTCATTTCCAAGAACTAGAACCATGAGTGCATTCTTTCTTGTTGGACTGCACACATTAATCCACTTTTCCCATCTCATTTCCAAGAACTAGAACCATGAGTGCATTCTTTCTTGTTGGACTGCACACATTCTGCTGTTGGAAGTTCTACTGAAAGCAGTACAATAACACTCGCCCGTAACACTAAAAATATCCCAGTCTATATTTGTGTATTTGAAGGCCCCATTATAGATCTCTATAATTTCCCTGCAGATTTGACCCTCTACATCCTTCCTAATAGTTGGCCCTCTACGGTAACAATGTAATTTCACCTTTTTGTTTCTTAGCTCTAGCTAAATTGATTCTGTCTTTGAATCCTCTGAGACCTCCTCTTTCTCCAGCACAGCAATATTTTTTTTCACCAATAATTCCACCCCACCTTCTTTGAACACCTTGTATCTGAGAACATTTAACAGTCTGCCCTCCTTGAGCATCTTTGCTGTTCTTGCCATATATTTCCATACATCAGCTTGCACCTGTAACTCCTGAATCTTATTTACCATACCTATGTGAATTTGTGTGTATACGCAATAACCCTGATTTAATCTTCACTACTTCCTCCGACTGCCAATTAACTTACTGTTGTTTATTCCAGTGCTATGTGTCTCCAAATATTTGTGAACCCCAGTATTCTTGTCTGATGTTCTCTCTTGGTTCCTGCACCGCTGCCAAGCTTGTTTAAAGCCTTCCCAACAGCACTTGCGAAATAGCTTGTAAGGAACTCAGTCCCAGCTCAGTTCATTTCCAACCCATTCTGCTTGTACTAGTGTTACCGCCCCCAGTGCCAGTTCCAGTTTTTCAGGACTCTAAAGCTGTCCTTCCAGGGTCATCTTTTCATCCGCCTTATCTTTCTATTTCTGCACTCACTTGCACAGAGCACTGGCTGTAATCTGGCAACTGCTCCATTTGAGATCCTGTTTGCTAACTTTCTACCTACCTCCCTAAATTCTATTTGCAGGACCTCATCTCCCTTCTCACCCAAGTCATTGGCATCAACATGGACAATAAGCTCTCTGTTCACCCTTCTCCAGAGCAAATGTCCTGCAGCTGTTCTGATCGTTGATCTTGACATCAGGGAGGCAATATAGCAACCCAGCCATATCCATAGCCTAGAAATGTTTGTCTGTTCCCCTAACAAATCCTCAATCACTATTGCTGTTCCTTTTTCCTCTGAACTGCTCGTGGTGCCATAAACATAGCTCTGATCACAGTCCCTCAAAAAACTAGTGCCCTTATCTGCTTCTGAAATGGAGAACTAGTTTGTGATTTATTCCACATAGGAATTCGGAAGTTCAGGGCTTCGGAGCTTAATCAACAGCTGGCGTCACTGTGGCAAATCCACAAGTTATCTGCAAGTGTGTTTGTTTATGCAGGCATCCTGCAATTTAGTGGTGTAAAGGCAGAGAGAAAATTAACTGCTAAGTAGTCAAACAGGATTGGGAAGATACAGCAGGAATCCCTGGACTATATCTCGCTATCCAAACCATTATTAAGTTCTGAATGTTGACAAGTGATGGTTCATCTAGGAAATGCAATGGCAGTTTCACGTAGCTGTGCAGATGGATATCTGGACAAGTATAGCAGTAGAAAACGAGGAGACATGGGAGCAGTCGTGAATCCAGGATAGTATGTTGCCTCCTTCTTACCAGGATCAAGAATGTCACTGTAGAGCACACTGAGGGGAGGGTGAACAGATAGAAACCATGATTGATATTGGCACAAACAAAGTAGGTAAAAAGAGGGATGAGGTCTTGCTGCAGATTTTTTGGGAGCTGTACCATTACCACATGCTACTGAGGGTAGAAAGAGGAAGTAAAAACAGATGAATGTGTGACTGATGAGATGGGGTGCAGGAGAGCAAACTTGAGATTCCTGGATCTGGTAGTAATCTTCCCATCCTCACAAGACTGCCGCCAGAGAACTGGAAAACTGCAAATGTTACACTATTTTTCAAACGAGTGCAGCTCTTGGGAAAATTGTTAGAAACAATAGTTGGGAACAAAATTAATAGTCACTTGGACAAATGTAATCTAGTTAAGAAAAAGTCAGTATGGATTTGTTACGGACAAATCAAAATGTAACAAATTGATGGGCTTTTTTGATAACATAAAGCGTTGATGAGTCATGTAGCATACATGGTTTTCCAAAATGTTGTTATAAATTGCTGCATAAGCTTGCACACAAACTAAACCCCATGTAGTAAATATGACAAAATATTAGGTTGTGGGTTGGTTATCTCAGTTGGCTGGATGTCTGGTTTGCAATGCAAAGTAAAACCAATAGTGTGGATTCAAATCCCATACCAGCTGAGGCCCTACATTCTCAACCTCACCCCTTGCCTGAGGCATGATGACCTAAGCCAACCATTCCCTAATGAGAGAATGGGTCTTTGGTGACTTTCATCTTTATGAATTTAGCTAAATGATGAGAAGTAGACATTAGTAGTGACTGATTGGTTTTCATACTGGAGGAAGACACATAGTCGTGTTTGCCAGGATTCTGTATTAAGACTCCAATTAATAAAGTCTTAATTTTTGCTGCAATGCAGAACTCAGAATTTCCCATTATTGAAGGGGTGGGACATGGTTCATGCATGCCTCATTCACACAGGCAGCTGACCATTAAATAATTATCTGTCTCTACTCAAAATGAACTTTGGAATTCCTGCCATCTGGAACTCAGAATGTGGAAATTAAGTGAAGAAAGAACAGACCCATCCTTAGAGAATTTAATTTGGATAGCCAAGTTCCCTTGTTTGGATATCTACAGCCTCATGATAACTTGAGGACACTACCCTGAGCAACTCCTGCAACAATCTCCTGCAGTTGAGGCGTTTTGCTTCCAGCAATCACAACCATCTTTCTTTCTGTGATGCCCGACTCCTACTGATGGTGAGGTTTCACCCCAACTCCAACTGACATAAATTTTGTTAAGGCTTTTTGACACTACACTCTGTCAAATATTGAATTGGCATCATGTGCAGTGTCACTCAACTATTTCATGAGTTTGGCATTTTTGTCCATGTTTGGATTCTACCATATTTTCTGGCTTGATCCAAACAGTACTTTGTTGAGTTGTTTATTGCCATTTAAGTGCTACTTGATAGCACAGTTAACAATACATCACATTGCTGATGATCAGAAGTAGACCATTAGGAGGTAACTGACTGGATTGGATTTGTCCCACAGTTTGCAGGTAGGACATGTTATGACAATTTCCCACATTGTCAGGTATTTTTACTGAACAACTTCCTTACAGGAGTGGTTAGTTGTTTTGCAAAACTTTAACACATCAAGATTTTGTTGGGGTTCATTGTTTTTGTGGGATCCAGTGTCTTCAACTCAAATATGGGAAGGAAATAGCCTCCTTATTTGTATCAATGCCCCAGCTGACAATCTTGAAAATCACTTAGAAGCAGAGGGTGGCAAGGAAAGACAACATATACGAAGTGAGGTACTTCTGAGCCTTTCACCATGACTGGCTTGGTGGCACTACTCCTGACCGACCAAGCTAGCTGAATCCTTAAGGGCATGCAGTATCTGCCAGAGTGGGCCTTCAGCAAGTGGTGAAGGAAAACTCTGCTGGACCTTGTCCTCACCCAGTCTTCGCGTAACAGGTAAATCTGGTCTTAATAGTAACAGGTAGGAATGACTACTGCTTGAGACTATGATATTTCATGGGATCCAGTATCAATGCTGAGGAATCTATAGTTAACTCTCTCCGCAACTGTACACTACTGTGCCTCACCTCTGCTGGATCTGTCCTGCACTAGGACAGAACATAGCCCAGGTTCGTGATGGAGATGTCAGGAAATTTGCTGTAAGATGTGATTCCATCAGCATTACTGTCAAGCTATTGCTTGACTAGTCTGTGGATTAAATCTTGTAATGTTGGCATAAGCCCCCTGCCAATGTCAGTGAGAACTATTCCGACTAGTAGAACGAGTCAGTGCCGGGTCATCAATCCAATTCTATTTCTTTTTGACTTTAGGCTGTGGCAGTTTGCAAGTTCACAGTTAACCACAATGCATGGAGTTACAAATAGGCCAGCTGAGCAATTTCCTTTCCTAAATATTACTAGTGAAGTAGGTGGGTTTTTGTGACAATCTGATGTTTGCATGGTCACCATTACTGAGGCTAACTTTGAATTTCAGATTGATTAACTGAATTTCATTTTCACCAGTTGTCGTGGTCACCAACATTCTGTGCAAATCATGTTCTAGAGACAGATGTTGTAAAGAACCTCAATGGCTCAGAATGATATTGCCCCTTGTTGCATGTCGAAGAAATGCATCCCTTCACGCCCCCTCCATCCCCAAGAGAACCAAAATACCAAACACAGCCTCTGAAGATTGCACCAATGAATCTTTCTCTTCATACAAACTGAAAACAAAAATTGAAAGTATGTTTGAATTTGCGGGATAAATAAGCTCTGGATAGTGAATTAGCTTAAACTTCCTGCAATGCATCAATGTTTTGGGCTTAACTTCAGTGACAATTCTTTTACAAATCAAAATCTTTCCAATTAATATATGATACAGTCATTACCTTTTCCTTTTTAAATATTTAACAGATAGAATCCAAATCTAATTTGGACTCATAATTGGTGTAACAACGAAATTCATTTGCTAAATTCCGATTGTGTTTTGGGAGAAATTTGCACATTTTCACAGAAAGCAACTTTGCTGCTAGGTCTTCCACGATTGCACCTGAAACAGAGAAAGTCAAACATATCATAAATAAATAATTCACTCAACTGGCCATCCTAAGCCTGGATAAAAAAAACCTCATAAACTAACTGCTTAAAGCATCAAAGCCAAAACAATTGTGCCCTCAGCTAACATCCTGAAATATATACTTTTCACCAAAGGTTAATAGATAGAAATTAGGAGTGAGAACCACAAAAACTAATAAAGGTCTCTGCATTACCACCTGACCTGAATAGAGTGATTAGAAAATATCTAAAAGTTGTCATTACGCATATTCAATGCTGCCTCCCAATAAAATTTACCAGGGATCAGTTAGTTCAATTGGCTGGATAGCTAGCTTGCAATGCAGTGTGACACCAACAGCTCAGGTTCAATTCCTGTACCAGCTGAGGTCACTGTAATGTCCCTATCGTCTCAACCTCACATGAAGTGTGGGAACTGTCAGGTTAAACTTTTCACCAGTGTTATGAAGTTTAATTGAATACTCATGAATTGGACGGCAGGAAGTTGGAATTTGGTTGTAAAAATGATAGTGGGGAGAAGCAGTGCATGGTCCCTTTAAAGGACAGTGCTTGGAAGTTTGCAAGTAGTGTATAGACAGTCCAAAATTAAAACAAGTGTATCAAAAGGCCTTACAGTTGGCAGGCAAAACAGCAGTCTTATTTTGATGTTTCGGCAACAAGCTGGACTCAGCCAATTAATTTAAACCAAATACTCAGTGATTGAAAGCCAATTGAATTTAAAACTGATGATTTTGACAACCTGAAACAAATCATATTATAAGAAAGTGATGTGTCATTTGGGGTATATAAGGTTTTTTTTTTGAAAATTGGGGTGACAGCCAACTGCCATTTGAAGCGAATGCAAATCCTCCATCTGAGAAATAAACTAGCTCTCACACAAAATCATTAAGCTGTCTAAAAAAAATCAAAGGTACCACGGCACTTCTAGCTAAGACTCATCATTGAGGAGATTATAGAAAAAAAATCCCTGACAGCAAAATCAGTAGAAGAACGGATGGAGAGACACAGGAGAAGGCAAAGCTTTCTGAAAGACACATTCGGTGTGAACTTTGAGAGACTAAGTTTTAACTTATTGTTTTCTTATTACTTAAGAGTTTTATAAGTGGGACCGGTGTTTATTGGAACAGCATACAATTAGAATCTGGTTTTATTAGGAAATAGTTAATAGTTTGGGGCTGGTATTTTGGGTTAATTATCAGAGGGGTTCAATCTTCTCCTTCGCCATAACAGCCAGTCACGTCTCTCTAATGAGACAGTAGACCTCTGGTATGAGTTCAGGTGTTTTAAAGGTCACAGGTTTGAGCCCTGCTGTGAATACTTAAGGACTTTTGTGCCACAATGGTAATGTCCCTGGCTTTGGAAGAAGAGGCCTAGGTTCAAGTTCCACCTGTTGCAGAGGTGTGTGACAACATCCCTGAGCAGGTTGATTAGAAAATACCTAAACATGGCACCAAGTTTAAATAAAAATATATGGGAGGCAGCAGCCTAATGATATTATCGCTAATCTATTAATCCAGATACCCACGTAACGTTACGGGGTCCTGGGTTCGAATACGATCAAACACTCAGAGTGGGAGGGTGGTGGCTTGATTGGTTTGTGATTTGTGGCACACCTTCAATAGCTCAGCTTGTAGAACGGAAGGCTCTAATGCATCACAAAAGATGAGGACTCTTATAGTGCAGTGGTCGTGAAACTGCCTCTGAGCCAGACGGCCTGGGTTTACGTACTGGCTGCTCCAGAAGTATGTCATAATACACCTGAACGAATTAATCTAAAGTAAATCAAAAATAATATCCATTGACCACTACTCTCAGTTACCTATTACACAGCCAATTTTGTGTCCACGTTTCTAACGTCTCTTTTATTCCATGTGCTATGACTTTTCTCACAAATCTGAAGCAGTGGCACTGTATCAAATGCCTTTTGAAAGTCTGTCTACACCACATCAACAGCAGTACCCTCATTTAACCCCTCTGTTGTCTCTTCAAAAAACTCCAGTTAGTCAAATGAGATTTCCCCCTTCAGCAATCCATGCTGGCTGTTCCTAAACTATGTTCCTCAAATAATTGTTGTCAACAGAACCATGTCTGTAGACCCACCAACAGAGGGCAATCAATGCATTCAATTTAGCATTTTTTCTATATCCAACTTTCAACTATCCTTAACTGCTAAAAAAGGGGGTTAATGCTTTTCTATGAATACAATGAACTGAAAAATGTCCACATACCAGTACAAAGAAGAATCTTCCCTTTTGTTAGATATTTGACTGTTAATGTTATTTTGCTGAGACACTCTTCTGAGAGGTATGGTGGGTCAACAATCACTATATCGCAACTGTGAGGTTGGAGATCTTCATGTAAATTCATAGGGTTGTTATAGTCATAGAAAACAAACTCATTTCCATAAACTGAAAATCGTCTGTCATACTCCAAAAGAATAGCAGAGAATTCTCCATTCCAAAGCTGCTTCAGTTTCTGAAATACACTTGGGGTGCTGATACAAGCTATTCTGAAAAATAAATTACATGAATAAAATACGATATTGGAATGCTTGTCTCAGCTAATGCTTATATGAACTTGTAAATGCACTGGCTCACTTCCTGATTTAAGTGATGCACCTGAGAAACATGAAGATGTTGTCTAGTTAAAAAAAACACACATACTTGCCATTATATCCTGAAGCTTCAATCACTTCCTGGGCTAGCCGTAGAGCAGTTTCATCATTATACCAAAACTGGCTTAATTGCTGTTAAAATATTAAAAATAAATTTTAGAAATTAGTTTCACAACATTTATGGTCAGCAGATTTAAATGTTTATAATGCAGTCAAAAATCAAGATTCTAAACTCTAATTTTATGCAAGTGTTGCTATATTCCATAACTATATTCAAATTATAATCAAGTTCAATGTATTGCCTAGACATATTGTTTGAAATCATCTCTAAAGAAGTGAACATAAAATTTAAAAAAAAAACTTATCAAGTTAAAAAAGAAAATCCACTACACATGTATGCAAAAGATATCAGATGCTGAAAAAGCTTGGGCATTTCTTTCAACATCAAAGGCATTGTTCAGACAGAACAACAATCACAGAAATAGACATCGCAGAATACGCCACTCACTCCATTGTGTCTGTGCTGGTTTTTCAAAAGAGCTATTAATCTCACTTCCTGGTTCTTCCAACAGAGCACATTTTTCTTTGTCACACAAATATGCTATACCATTTTAGAAAGTTACAACTGGATCTGTTTCCACTAGCCTTTGAGCAATGCATTCCAGACCATAACATCTCGCCAAGTACAAACATTTTTCTCTGCCAATGATCATAAATCTGTCATCTCTGGTTAACAATCCTCCAGCCAGTGTGAACAGTTTGTCTCAATCCATTGTATCAAAATTCTCGTAACTGGGAAAAACTTTATTAACCACAGAGAATGCTGGAGAAACTCACCAGGTTGGCAACATGTGTGCAGAGAAGAGTTAAGTTTTCAGAACTGAAGAAGAGTCATACCAGACTCAAAATGTTAACTCTGTTCCTCTCTCCACAGATGCTGCCAGACCTGGTGTGTTTCTTCAGCATTCTCTGAGTTTGTTTAAGATTTCCAGCATTGCTAGTATTTTGCATTTAACAACTTTATTAAATCTCTCCTTACCCTTATTTCCCTTAAGAATACTAATTCCAGCTTCTCTAGTTTTTCCACATAAATGAATTTCCTCATTGTGGTACAATTCTAGTAAACATTCCTCTGCATTCTTTCTAAAATGTTCTTCCTAGAATTGAAGTCATATTTTAGCTTATTCTTTATGCTTTATAACAGAATAATTCTGAAAACATGCTACCAGAACTTCTTCAGTTAACAGTTTAAATATTGATAAGCAAAAGAAAATCAATATTATGGATGTCACTCCTTTCAGGATTCTGTACAATACTTACACATTTAAACAGAATTCTGCTTGTGGAGCGAAACTAAAACAGAATCATTACAAATTCCAAGAAGCAACTGCACTAGAGCAATTACTGAAGACGAATGCTAGATAGAAAGCACCTTTTCACTTTAATTGAGGCTTTTCATGCTGACTTAGCAAAGCAGTGATCCCTGATTTCCTAGCATCGGCATTTACATTTAAACAACAAAAACACTTGAGAGTAACTATAAAAATAAAGCATGCTCTAAGTTCTCCTTGTACAGACATACGCAAGAACAAATTGATTAAAAAAAACATTCATGTGAATGGACTAAGCCATTGAGACAGTATTCGTATGAACAGCCCATACTGCATGTTACAAATGAAGAAGTAGGATTCTTTAGAATGCACTACAAGTTCTTTCAAGCATTCTTCTTCTGAGTCAACAATAATGTTTTTAATTATACAGAGCTGGTAAAATACACATCATTAAGAGGCCTATACCAAATTAATTGCAGTGGTTCAAAAAGGCAGCTTACTACCATTTTTTTTTAAAAGGGTAAGTGGGGATTAACAATAAATTCTGCCCATCCAATGATGTCCACATCCGCGAGTGAATTTAAAAAAAACATTGAAAAATAAATGTTTACCAGAATTGTGAGATTTCTTCTGAGTTTGATAGGATGTTCTGGCTTCAATAAAAAGCTTTCTTTAAATAATCTTTGTATTGATACAGACAGATCAACCCTGGGGAATTTTAAGATTTATCAACTTTATCTACCAAAAGTGTATGAAGTTCTTTCCATCAAATCTATTCAGCAAATGTTCAGAGTAAGGTTCACTTTGATCTGCCCCAACATTTGTGTCACAACCCATCTCAAAGTTATCTGCAACAGTCATCCTATCATGGTTGAGGCAATTCAACCTAAATCCATTTTGTGCTTTTTGCTATTCAGCAGCTTGTCATTTATACTGAAATAATACAGTCTAGCCACACTACTGCAGTGTATATGTGCTCAAAATTTTACCTATATATTATTCCAACTATTTTTCAGGAATAGAGAACCAAAGATAAAAGTCATCAATAATTTACCCAGTCTTCTTCTATAGACCCAGTAGCATAATTATTGAGCCCTGCATATTGCTTCTTCTGCTGATCCAGCTGGAACTCTTGCAGGGCGGCCAAAGCATGGGCTGACAACTGAATGTCATTATCATCATCACTATCGTTCATTCTGATGGCGAATTATCCTGGAACAAAATCAACAGGATGTATAACATGCATCAAATAATACATTTAACACAAACGTCACCCTTGCCTTTCTAGTTCCAAAGTTAGCTCACTTTGCTAACAGTTCTCTTCGCTCAGGTTTTGTCACTCTCCTTCTGGGGGCTAGGGTCAGTGGTCTGAAATTGTTGAGTATCGAGCCCAGAACACTGCGAAGTATCTAATCACAAAATGAACTACCTGCCCTCAAGCTTGCATTGAACTTCACTAGAACACTGCAGCAGACCAAAAGCAGAAGTGCCTTGAACTCTATGGCTCATTTTGATTTTCTTTTTGCCTTGCGCTGGTCTAAATCTAGTTTTTTTTTCAAAGATTTGCTTTCAGACAGAGCTAGTTGACCATTATTCTGTCAGTCAGTCATACTCGTTCTAGACAAATGCTTTGTTTATTTACGACTGTTTGCACTCGTTTTGCGTTTTGTTCCGACATTTTTGTCATTTAACCTCTCACTCTCTACCTTTTCCCAAGCTTGCTCTTTTGTTCTCTCCGTCCCCTTTCAACTTCATAAATCCTATAACATTTCTAACTTCCTTCAATTTTGAACTAGTCATATTCGCCTTGAGACGTTAACTCCACTTCTCCCTTCACCGGTGTTGCCGGATTTGGATTTCAATCGCTGCTGAACAAACCGAGCTCCCGGTGCAAAACGCCTTTTCTCTGGCTGTTCAGAGCTTCCTTCTGTTAGGTCAGACAGCATTTGTGATGGAGAAAGCAGCCCAGCTTCACTGCGGTGACCTTTATCTGAACCGGCAGACGTTAGGAATTTAACAGTTTATCTGAAGTATTTGGATACGCTTTGAACCTCATCCTCTGCAACTTGGTCCGTTTTGCTGAAGATCCTCGACCGGAAACGTTAACTCTTTCTCTCTTTGAACCGAGGCGTTCGGTATCTTCAGCATTTTCTGATTTTTATCCCGAAATATAGTTAGGGAGTTACAGCCCCTACCAGCTCGCCGCCTCTATTTAATTGATGATTAAACCCCAAACACCGACCGAAACAGAGAGAATGGTCTTATACTCACACCAACCTTTCCCCTCTGACATCTGACCCACCGGAAAAGGAAGTGAATCAGAGATAGTAGGAACTGCTGATGCTGGAGAATCTGAGACAACAAGGTGTAGAGCTCGATGGACGCAGCAGGCCAAGCAGCATCAGAGGAGGAGGAAAGCTGACGTTTCGGGCCTATATATATATCTAGGTCTAGGCCCAGGCCCGAAACATCAAGCCAGCCTTCCTGCTCGGCCTGCTGTGTTCATCCAGCTCTACACCTTGTTATCTAAGGAAGTGAATCTGTGGGTTTAGAGCGGGAGCAAAAATGAAATGAAGGTTTTTAAACGATAATTTTGTAAATAAGGCTCTGTTTCGGATTTCATAATTAACTTTCAAACGGTTTGTATTAGGTCTTTACCAATTAGCAAGGTTGGAAGAAACACAACTTTATCGCGATTCTTCCACTGGTGCGTAGTGTTTAAATCTTCACAGATATTCCCAACCAATCGCCGCCCAATTCATTTTAGTTAAATTACATCCATGAAAAATCTGAAAAAAAGGTGTTTTGCTTCCAATGCAAGTTCATCCAAAACGTTGCATTTTTTTTTGCAGAACAGGCGCGCAGTTTATTCTTTTGTTTCGGATGTCAACAGTTGTGGCTTTTCGTTATTTCTGTTAATGTACAAGATAAACTATAAAAGAATAGCACATGGGAACTTGATTTCTTTTTCCCGCTGAAATTCACGACTTCTTGATAGTATGGCAGCAATCACATTAACGTTGGGCACAAACCTATGTCCTTTATAAGGGCAATGCTTACAACAATTAATTTTAAATTAAATTGCACTATTCTTACATCTCAGTTTCCTCCTAAAGGACATCAATCTTGCAGCCACCAAAACGGACTACATTTTGTTGTAGGGAAACCTGCTTATACTCTTTTACATAGTTAAATCTGCGATTCACCAAAATGACCAATCTTCATCAGTAAACCTCACTTCTGTAGCATTGCCAACAGAGCATTCGGCTGCAGGAGGATGGAGTAGATAACATGGGCACCAACTATAACCTTAACTCCATCTGAAACCTGGCCATTGAATAGCAATCAGGAGAGGGAAACAGAGGTGATTTTCACTTTTTCACACAGGAAATTAGAATCCCTACAGTGTAGAAATGAGCCATTTGGCCCAACAAGTCTACACCAACCCTCCAAAGAGCTTCCAACTAACTCTGTAACCCTGCATGTCCCATGGCTAATGCACCTAATCTACACCTCCCTGGACCACTATGGGCAATTTAGCATGACCAATCCACTCAATTTGCACATCTTTGGACAGAGAAGCTGAGGAAAATTTTGGTGCTTCCATATTTATCCTAACTGAAATCAACTGTCAGTACAAACGGAGTAGGGAATCTTGCTTTATCTTCACTAATATAGTTCAGTATCACATGGGACGTTTCCTATCACCTGCCTGTTCTGTATTGCAGGTAAATTTTAATAACCCATGGTCCTTTTCAAAGAGGAAGGAGTTTTCCAGTTTTCCAGTTTTCTGGTGAATGTAATTTCCTAAACCAACACAAAGTTAATTCATCTCACTGCTGCTGGCAGGATCATGCAAAATCATAAAATACACAATGTAGCTACAGTTTCTACACTGTAACATAGTTCAAAGTAACGGATGTTGCAAAAAGATACAAAGTACTTAACTAATTCAAGTACAGCCAGCGATGTCCACATTTGATGATATAATAATTCCTGCAACACGTTAGTTGCTCTTTGACATTGGTCATGCACATCAGAGCATATATATAATTTGCTGGAGCTATCCCTGTTTGTCTTCTTCTGCAGTTATTTTCTCTAAAATAAAAGATTTTAGATGACATCATGTGATGAATCTGAGAGCTGTACTTCCCATTCAGAAACTGCCAGTTATGGGAGGCAGATGTCCAGTTTTTGGGTTACTGCTGAGTGGTCCTCTTCAAGTAGGACATCAGGCATGTGTTTGCCCTGGAGTGGCCACAAGCTAAGTATCAGATAGCAAAGACAGGAAACAGTTATGAGGAGATGTGAAGATACCAGTAGGATAATACTGTATTGCTTAAGAAATATAAAAATAATTTCAATATTAAGTGAAAAAAAGCAAGGAAGGCACTTTAGTCCAAATGTTAGTTTTTACAGTTAATCTTCTTAAAAAAAGCAAATGGAGCAATCAGGATAAATACTTTGCAGGCAAAAGCAATACCCAGATATGATACCGGAAGCAGCATGGTTGACTGAATAGGTTTGTATTCAGTTCTGAAGGACCACTAAACGGACAGAGATATGGTCTTTCAGATGAGACGCTAAGCTGGGAACTTAAAATGTACAAACAGTCCTGAAAAGGTCTGCTTGCACATGGATGTAAAAGATTCGATGGCACTATTTCAAAGAAGGGCAGTGTCCTCACCGATATTTATCCCTCAACCAAAATCATAGACAGATCTCCTATTATCATTTTCACTTGTTATTCATGGGAGTCTGCTGTGTGAATATTGGCTGTCTCATTGTCTACATTTAGTTGCTTGGTAGTACAGAACATGAGCAATACTGAACAACAAACAGCCATGATGTCAAAGCATTTCATCTTGTACTCAGATGGATGCAAGACTACATTTCAAAGATGACAACAATTTATATGCATGAGATAAAGGTGCTGATTGTTTGACAAGCAGATTGTGATTGGAACAGTTCAGACATTGCACCTTTGCAACAAAACAAAACATTGGAAGTCCACTGTGCCCTAGTGAATTTCCTATGGCAATGCTTCAACTAGTGTTGAATTTGCTTGGTTTAAATTTAAAAGTTGGGGTGGGGGGTAGGATTATTGTTTCTTGGTGCATTCTCCATAGCAACATCTTAATTAGCATTCCCAGGCTGAGTTCTCAGAGATCTAAAGAAGAGTTGAGACATTCCACTCTCCCCCCGCACTGCCCCCCCCCCCCCCCAGATACACTATCTGAAAAATTGGTGGAAACAGATTCTATGAATAATTTTAAAAAGGAGTGGAAATGTAGGTCTAAGCACGTTGGTCCGAACAGCTGAATCCTGATTTTTTAAAAATGCATTTTATTCATATTATAATAATTAAACTTGTCTACATTACAAAATAAAAACGCCTACTTGTAAAGTGCCTTTGAAACAGTCATGAAAATGTCTGTATAAATCGTAGCTGCTTTTTGAAACAAATGTTTCAGAACAAATTTATGGAATTTAACCCTGAGAAGTGCAAAGTGATGCACTTTGGAAGGAGTAACAAGACAAGGGAGTACACAATGAATGGCAGCACACTAGGAAACTCAGAGGAACAGCAGGATCTTGGGATGTTTGTCCATAAATCCCTGAAGTTGGCAGGACAGGCAATAGGGTAGTTGACAAGGCATATGGGACACTTGCTTTTATCAGTTGAAGCATAGATTATAAGAACAGGAACGTTATGTTGTGGCTGTACATAACTTTGGTTAGGCCACAGCAAGAGCCTGTGTGCAGTTCTGATCTCTGCAGTATAGGAAAGAATGTGATTGCACTGAAGAGGCTGCAGAGGAGATTCTCCAGAATATTGCCTGGGATGAAGCACTTTATCTGTGAGGAGAGACTAGGTAAGTTGGGACTGTTTTCTTTGGATGCAGAGAAGGTTGAGCGGCAGACCAAACTGAGGCGTATAAGATCATGAGGGGCATGGACATGGTGAATAGAAAACAGACATTCCCCTAACGGAGAATAATTTTAGGATGCAAGACAGGAGGTTTAGAGGCGATTTGAGGAAAACTTCTTTCACCTACAGGGTGATGGGGTTCTGGAATGCACTTTCTGGGAGGATTGTCGAGTCAGGTAACTTCACAATCTTTAACAAGTACTAGAAAAGCATTTGAAATATCATATCATTCAAGTTTATGGGCCTAGTGCTAGAAGGTGGGATTTGCAGATTTAGTGTATCTTTAGCAGTACAGACTTGATAGGCCAAAGGACCTCTGCTGTATGATCTATGAAAATACAAAATCCAAGAAGTGGAATGAAAAAAAAATCACTATTCATAGAATCCCTACAGTGCAGATAGAGGCTGCTCAGCTCAATGAGTCTGCACCAACCCTCTGAAGACCATCCCAGCCAGACCTAGCCCCCACCACCACCCTATCCCTATAATCCTGCATTTCCCATGGCTAATCCATCGAGCCTGCACATGCTTGAACTCTACAGGGCAATTTAGCATGGCTAATCCATTGAATCTGCACATTTTTAGACTGTGGGAGGAAACTGGAACACCCAGTGATAACCCATGCAGACACAGGGAGAATGTGCAAACTCCACATGGACCCAAGGCTGGAATCAAACCCAGGTCCCCTGGCACTGAAGCAGCAGCGCTAATCACTGAGCCACCTTGCCGCTTCTTCTTATTCCTCATGCAATTAAAGGGGCACAGTTTATGAGTGAGCATAACTGTTCAATGTTCAATTAATAGGACAGTATATCAGGATGCAGATTTCAGCATGCTGGATTTATGGCTCAGACCATTCAAATGTATCCAAGTCCCAATCTGTACCCGTTGGAACAAGATTGGCCATTCAGCACTTCAAGCTTGTTCTGCTAGTCAGTGGCAATTATGGCTGATCTAAGGCCTAACTATATATACACCTGTCTTTGGCCCATATCCCTTCATCCCTTTGCTTAAAAAAAAATTCTCTCACTCAGATTTAAAAGTAACTGATTGAGCATCAACTACTGTTTGTGGAAGGGAGCTCCAAACCACCACCCTTTGTGTAGAAGTGCTTCCTAACATCTCTTCTGAATGGTTTAGTCCTAATTCTCAGACTATGTCCACCAGTTCTAGAATCTCCAACCTGTGAAGATAGTTTATCTTTACCCTGTCTTTTCCTGTTAATATCTTGAAGACTTCGATCAGATCACTCCTTAACCTATATTCTAGGGAAAACAGGTGTAATTTGTATAATCTCTCCTCATATCCTAACCCCTGAAGAACAGGTACAATTCTTGTAAACCTACACTGTAGCCCCTCCAAGGTCAATATACCCTTTTTAAAGTGTGTTCTCAGTACTCCAAGAGGGATCTAATCAGGGTTTCGTAAATCTGCAGCATAACTTTTGCACCCTTATACTCTAGTCATCTAGATAAAATGGCCAGCAATTCATTAGCTGCCTTGATTCAGTTTTGAGGAAGGGTCACTCAACCCAAAACGTTAACGCCGATTTCTAATCACAAATGCTGCCGGACCTGCTCAGCTTTTCCAACAATCTCTATTTTTGTTTCTGATTTACATCAACTGCAGTTCTTTTGATTTTGATTATTTTCTGTACTCGCATGTGGTATTTTAAAGATTTAATCACCTGGACTGCCAAGTCTTTGGGCATACACTGTATTTAACTTCATACCATCTAGAAAGTACCTTGATAAATTCTTTTTCACACTTACTTACTTTGAACTCTGTCTGCCAGTTTTGCCCATTCAATTTGTCTATCAATATTCTTTGTAATTTTATGTTATCTACACTGTCCACAATACCACCTAACTTTGTGTCATCAGCAAATCTAGATTTATGACTTTCCATGCCATTATCCAAGTCATTAATAGATGTGACTAGTTGATGCCCTCCTACAGCTCCTGTGGGACACCACAGGTCACATCCTGCCAAAGTGAATACCTACCCATTATCCTACTATTTGTCACCTGCTACTCAACTTACTTGTCAGTAAGTTGCCCTCAATTCTGTGATACCTTAGTAGTCATGTATGTGGGACTTTATCAAATGCCTTCTGGAAGTTCAGATAAACATCCCTGTCCACTGCCTTAACCACCTCTTCAAAAAAAAATTAAAAAGTGAGGTTTGTCAGATATTACCTACCCTATCATGAATCCATGCTGGCTCTTCCCAATTAACGGAAAATCTGCAAGATGCTTAGTTGCCCTACCCTTGAATATAGACCCAAACAATTGCTCCACCGTCCATTAGACTAACTGGTATGTAATTCTCTGGTTTTCCACTTTCACCCTTTTTAAATAAAAACAGAATGACTTGCAATTTTCCAATCTTGCTGAATTGAGGATTCTCTAAAAGATTATAGTTAGGGAGACTACAATGTGCTCTCCTACTTCCTTTAACACCCTCAGATGGAAACCATTAGGTCCCGAGGATTTGTCACTCTTTAAATCCATTAATTTCCTAACAACTGACATTTTATTTACGTTAATTTTATTCAGTCAGTCCCTGTTCCAGATCCATTAATTTCCTTGAGATTTCTGGCAAGCTTTTCTTTTTCTACTGTAAATACAAAGGCAATGTAATTATTCAACATTTCTGCCATTTCCCCATGGACATTTACATCCCCACTTTCAGTCTTTAGTGGGCCAACATTGCTCTAATTGTGTATTTCAATAAATACTTATTTAAACAGCCTCCACTGTTCTTCAGTTGTTTCACCCATTATCAGATTTCCCAGTTTGCTGTGGACAGTCTGTCTCATCTCATTAAATTCAGTCTTATCTAAATCTAAAATTCTAGTAGCTGATTCATGCTTTTGCTTTCAAATGCTACATTGAATTTGAACATGTTATGATCACTATTTGGTAAATGTTCACACACAATTAAGTTACTAATTAAATTCAACCCATTACTCATTACTAAATCCAATGCTCCAATCATGGAAGGCTCTACACCAAGAATGCTATATCATAAAATGTTTCCCTCTTTGCCTTTTCATACGTGGTAACAACTCTGCCAACTTCACTACCAACTGTGAGAAGTATGAAATGTTGTAGCAATGTCACTGGACTAGCAATCCTGATGCCCAGGCTAATGGTCAAGAACATGAGCTCATGTTCAGCACAGCAGCTGGTGGAATTTAAGTTCAATTCATACGTATGGAACGTAAAGTTACTCTCAGTAATAGCAACCATTACAACAATCATCAATTGTAATAAAAACCCATCTGGTTAACCAATATTCTTTAGGAAAGGAAATTTTTCCTTTATGTGGCTGTCCTACACAAGACTCCAGATGCAAAGCAATCCAGTAGTTGATTCTTAACTGTCCTCTGAAATGGCAATATAAACAACTCTGTTTCAATGGCAATTAGGGATGAACACATGTTGGCCTGACCAGTCCGTACAAAAATAAAAAAGTTATTGAAGACCTAACATCAGCTGAAGACATTCCTTTGTGTAAAATTTATGCAGATGTACAATTACTATATACAAGGAGCTATTAAAATACATTAGAAGAACGCTAATTACTCAAAGTCCAAAGAAATTCTCAATTTTGCTCACTGTAAATTTTCACTTCTTCCTTCTTTTAGAACTTCAGTTAACTATATTACATATTTTTCCAAGATAAGATTTCTTCTTTTCCAAAATCTATACGCAATGTACATTAAAAATCAAAGCTTCCAACGTTTTGGTCAATAGATTCAAAACATACACACACAGCTGGAGATTTACACACATTCCATTCAATTTAAATTAATAGCAGCCCATTAAACATCACAATTTATATAACATAGCAATATTTGGATCCCCCTCACTCCTGGACTCAGACTTAAAATTATTTTCAGTACATAGGAAATTTCCTATATCTCTGGTTTACAACAGCTTCAGGTTAAATCTGATGTTTTTAATTTAGTGCTCAACCTGTAGCTGAGGTAATCATTATCAATAACAATGTACTTGTCAAGGAAAATACAAAATTAAAATTCGGTAACTTGGATGAATGTCTAGACGGCAATCTTCAAAAAAAAAATTCTTCTATGAAGTCAACAGTATCTTCATTAAGTCTCTTATAAAGCAAACAAAAATATTTATTTACAGCAACAGATGAATGTTGTTTGACAGGTTCATCACTTCTGAAGTAGCTGGCAGCTAATTAATATTTACAAATTACTCACTTGACAATATCTATTGCTAACATTCACTAAATATTTTTCTATTCAAAAGTTAAGCAAAATACGTTGAAAAATATTACTGTTGAGTCAACACAACTGTCAGTTCTTTAGGTCATAAATGTGTTTGCTGGCCCTCTCCACATAGCCCATTGTTACTCTAAACAATTAAAGTAGTGCTTTTGGAGAAAAGTAAATTGAAATTGCATTATTAAAATCCTATCTGAATATTTCAATTGAATTGGAAAACATCCATAGTATTTAATAAAATTAATCAAATATTTAATATTGCAAAATCATGCTGAAATTAGACGATTTATAAAACCTTTGGAAATTAAAATTAGGTGACATTAAAGGCCAGTTATACAACTGCAAAACAATTATTCTCAAGGACAAATTCCTACTTTTTAAAATTTCTGCCACACAGAACTTAAAAAGGGTCAGAGAAATTGCCCTGACTCAGTAGCAGCATTCTCACCCAAGACAGAAGGTCTACACAAGGCACAGTTTACTGTATTATCAGAGGTGCTGTCATTTGGATGAGAAATTAAAATGAGCAACTCTGCTGCCAGCTCAGGAGGATAGAAGAGCCACTACACTATTTAAAGAGCAGGGGAATTTTCTTGGTGTCCTTGGAAACATTTTACCTTAACAAACATCATTTTATAGTGGATTAACTAGTCATATGTGTGTGCAAACTGGCTGCTGTATTTATCTTCATTATAACAATGACAAACTTTGGAAGTAATTCATTGCTGTACAACAGTTGAGAGATATCCTGAGGATGTGAAAGGCACTAGATAAATATAAGCTCATTTTTACTTTAACTCATTCGAGTGATCACAGTATAGCATGCCCCTGCTTTGTCAGTTTGACACTTAAAGTTTAAAGGTCATTGCTGACAATACAGTAGTCACATTTGAGATGAACAAGATGATCAAGTTGTTTCAAAAGGTTAATATTCACATGTATACACTTAATATCATATTGTTCTGCTCATCATGCTTTTCAAGGAAATGTTGATGGATAATAGGTAATACTGACAAATGTAGTATGGTCTGAAATGAACAGGATTACATCAGGTGATTAGAAGACAGATGGAACTCCAGTAAAATGTATGTATTTAATTTGTGGTTCCATTTAAAATTAAAATAGGAGTACTTTAAAGGAGGATACATGGTGATGTAGTAGTAATGTCACTGGTCCAATAATCCAGAAACACAGGATAACACTTGAACTTGATTAATAAATTTGAAATATAAAGCTTATTTCAGTATTGGTAAACATGATAACACGATCCATTGCCATAATGGCCCATCTTATTCACTAATGTGCTCGTAAAATCGCCTAACAAGCTACTCAGTTCAAAGGCAATTAGGGATGGGCAACAAAATGCTGGCTGGGCCAGACATCCACATCACACAACGGAAGAAAAAACAAACTTCTGTAACAGATCGTGCTTCCTTAGAAAATGGTGGATTTGAAAATCACCGCTCTTTCAAGTCCTAGGATTACTGTCTGACCAACACTAATAATTTGAAATATAACTGTGATCTAAAAGGTATTCTAATTTATTAATCATTCCTGGCTTTTAAGCACTGCAAAGTTAGTATATTTTAGGAAATCGCTAAGCTGAAAGAGACTTGATTTCTCTTCATACATACTCAAGAAATTAGGCAGGTGATAGTCACAATGGGCAATGATGTAGATTCAAAAGTCATGAATCAATTTACACAATTTTGAAAAGAATTAATCAATTACAAAATTGATAGTAAATGGGTGCTGAATGGAAACTTGAGATCTCAAAAGTTACTTCAAAACTTCTACCAGCAAAACAAAACATTTTTACAAAAAATTATATTTTACTTTACAATAGTCAGTATTCCTAATTCCACCAATAACACATCTTAATTATAAAAGGATTTTTTAACCCTCAATTTAGTGTTAACTATACTTAGTGGCACATTACATACTTGGAACAAGTACTGAATATATTAAGTGTTTTTAGTCCTTTTATTGTTTAGATGTGGTGTGAGCAAACCTGGAAATAAAACCAAATTTTATTAGTGACAGATTATTTAAACAGCAGCCAAAGTTTATTTGGTCGTCACTGCATATATACAGAGAAACATTCCATGTGTAATTTTCTGTTTAAAAATGTATCTTGTACTATGCAAGAAGGGTAGACTATGCAATAGTCAGAATTTCACTGAATTCAACTGCACCAAGACATGAAATTTTTTTAATAAGAACACTCATGATACATTTTAGGCGAGACAGCCCCAAAACATATCCTCAAACCTTTACAATTCCTTCTATGTGCAATTAAAAAGAAATTAAATGATCAAAATTTCTATAAAATAATGTACATAAAATGGTGCTTGCACACATTAGGGATGTAATATAACATGACAAAATAAATCACAAAAAGTACAAAACAATGCACAAAACAGAAGAATAATCATTTAAATGCATCACAGTTACCTAATGCATAACCACACAAACTGGTTACACATCAAGAAAAGCTATGATTCATTCAAGACAAATCCCAGATGAATTTTAAAAAAGGTCACAGTAGTTGTCACATGGCAGCAATCAATAGAGTATTTCAATTTTCTTGACCTGCAGTATTTCACAGCATAGTTAAATACTTTTCTTCAACAGACCTTGATATTCCTGGTCAGAATAAGGACTGAAACCATGGAATTGCAACTAAAATGTGGCATTATTCAGAAATGTTTAAAGTATCACAGCCAATAGTGAATAGGCATTCGTCCTTTATCTATAATTTAGTATTATACAAATTTTAATTGTTTAAGCACAACTTGGCTTTTAGCAATTTAATTTAAAATTTGATGATTAGTTTAGCCAACAAAATAGTTTTCAGCAGTTTAACTTTGTGTAGGATAGAAGCTATTTGAATAACATGATAAAATGGCAATATAACTTTTCATGGATTTAGAATTACTTATGTTGAATCCAAACATCCTTTGAACATACATTCCAACACAATACAACATTAAGTGACTGCTGAGTAAATCTGTACAATACATCTCTTCCTCTACCACCCCACTTTTCTGTACCTAACTTATCACAGTAGATTCTAATTCCATCACTAAAAGAATCTTGGTCTTCAGAATGGATTTGCAATAGTCTGGTGGTACAAACAATTCTGACATACAGCCAGGTTGCCTTATCACTAACATGAAATTTGTATAAGGTGTGCTACTCTGCTACAGAGCATATGTGGTGACAAAGATTCATTATTTCATTGTACTGATCATCTCATCTTGTAATCCAGTGAAATCATTTTTGATGGGTAAACTGCATCAGAATACACTTGCCAGAACCATACATGAAGGGAATGGGTTAGGAAAATAGGGAAAGTCAATGATCATTTTTTGTGAAGCAATATTTTAAGCTATATTTTGTGCTTAAGTTAGTTGAAACTTTGCGTTTTCTTCCAACAAGGTACAATTTGTACACATGCAACTCCTTCAAACTTGATTTAAGTATTACTGTGTTTTTAAATTTCAAATCTCCAAGACTAAGTGCTGGAGAAACTCAACAGATCTGGCAGCATCTGCAGAGGGAGAGAAACAGTTAATGTTTTGAGTGTAATATGACTCATTTTCTGAAGTGGGAACTTCAGGGTTCTGAAGAATCATATTAGACATATTAACTCTGCTTCTCTGTCCACAGATGCAGAGTTCCTCTAACAGCTTTTTAAAAATTTATCACAAATTTCCATGGTGACTATTCAAGAAAAGGAACAAATTATTGCAATGATTGATACGTACCATTTGCATTTGGAATAAAATATGCATGTTAAATTCAAATTGAACAAAGAGGGTGCTGATCTCAAGCTTGCATATTCACCTTTTCTTAGAACAGATGTACAAACTGGGCATACTATATTAATAATCTGAATAAGAAATGCTATGTATTGATATGGTTCCTGACATATTCTTTAACCATGTTACTGGCCAGCTTGCAGAATTGGTACAGACTTAATTTAAAATAAACAAAGTAGCTGAAAATAATGAAGAATGCTGGTTCAAATGTTGCAGTTAAATAATAACCTTCACTTTGTACATGGAGTTTTGAAGTCCTTGAAAGGTGAGCAGTCAAACAGAATTATGCCATTGGTCATCTACAAGAACCTTTAAACAAAACAGGATATTTTGAAGAGCACTCGAGTTTTGGAAATACTACAAAGGAAAATTAATTGGTTTCCTACAGAAAACTGATCTACACCACTGCCTACATTTCAAAATGTACTATATTTTCCCTTAGTAGATTAGGTCTGATATTCTAGGAGTGAAAAACAAAACAAAATAAAAATGCAGCAACTATTCCATTAGCTACTTTAATTTTATTTTAAATTGAGTGTGTTGTGAGATCCATACAAAATTCACTTAACTGGTTTGCTGGCCTCAAAAGAAACTAAACCAAGTACAATTATTTTTTTCAGTAGTTTCGACATACAACCTGTACAAGTTCATCAATAAGGATACTCTTTCTTTTTGAGAGAACAGAAAAAAAAATCACCAATACTAGAATGAAAATACTCAGCAAGTTAATCAACACGGAAAAGGGAACATTTCGGATGGAAGCTTTCATTAGAAATGATCATATCCAAAATGTTACCATTTTTCTCTTTCAGATGTTCAGTAACCTGCTGTCCATTTTCTGTTTTACTTTTTAAATGGTGTGACCACAAGCTTTGTTTACTTCATCCCTATATTTAAAACTTGCATGTTCGTACCCAGAATTCTCTTATCCTGATTAATTTTATTTTCGGAGTCCTGAATATACTGTGCAGTATTATAATATGCAGTTACTTACGTATCTATAGTGATTTGTTGTCCAACGGCTAGTCAAGGCGAATTTGTCACAAACAAAATGCCCAACAGCTTATTTACATTTATTCTAAAAGTGTTAAAAGTTTGATTGACTATGCAACAGCATGAACAAGAGTTTTTTTTTTAAACTAATGCCCGGTTTATCCTGGTGTGCATTATTGAAGAATTCACACCCTAGAATTCATTATTGCTTAAACAGACTCAAGAACCTAGCAATGTGACAGTTCAGGTGTAAAATTTCTTTTTGTTTAATAACTAAATCCCTTTAAGCCTTAACGTAGAACTTAAATGACTTAATTTTAGTATCCAGAATGACGACTTCCATTTTTTATGTAAATGTTAACACTACTTTTGACACCAAACAATGAGAAACTTTTCCTTTCAGAGGAAGAGAAAATTACAAGAAAAAAACAACACAAAAGTTGCCAGTTTGGCAATCCAGTTTCAGGTATTTCAAAACACAAAGTTTTTGTATTTACAGAAAATAAGGCAGCTGGTTACAATTCCTAAAGTTCACGGTTGGGAAGCAAAAATATATACTTTATTCTCAATAGCAGGCAGTACAAAGTGAATCTGAAGTATTGTGTACTACGTGATCACTGCCTGATATGGAAATAAAACCAAGATTCAAACGCTACAATTTGGTGTTTTCTTCAGGTCACAAATAAATTCATACGCTGGAAAAAAATAAAGCTCATTTCAGCCACAGCATTTATAGCTGTGCATTTTGTCTACAGTGATTCCCTCGAAGCAAGGGCTCAAATATAAACAATAAGACAGTTTATCTGGCCATTGGGCAGCTGGTTTAAACCAGACATGAAAAAGGCACTGGATTCATCACTGTGCCCATTCATCCATATATGCTGGAATTCTTTAAAATACACTTTTCATTTTTTAAGTAAACAATTAGATTATATGACAAATCATGGCTAAGAAATACTGGCAACTGAATAGTGGTGGGTTCATCCTTCTGTCTTAATGTGGTAGGCTTAGACCAAATATCCTGAGTGTCTAAAATCCAAGATGGCAGGCAACAGCCTTGAAACAGGTATAAAATTCAGTCAGCTTTGATTTCCATGCTTTACAGTGCATTTTCAACAAGGGACTTTGCAGCTCAAGGCTATTTAACACATAGAAGACCACCAACATTTGCCATAAAGTCTTTAAGGCTTTTTAAAAAGGCCATTCTCTGTTTGCGGTCCAGTGTAGGGGGAGTGCTGCTTCCAGTAAGACTGTTGAAGGCATCTGCTAATCGTTGATATATAACTGGATCCTGCTGGCTTGATAGTAGAGTTTCAACTAATTCTGAATATTCAGCCTATTGAAACAATACATGGAATGAAAGATCAATTTCCATGAAAAAGCAAACTAGAAAATATAGGCTGCAGAATCTGAAATGAATTCATTTGTAAGAAAGGTAAGGAACAGAAGAGGAGTTTAAGCAATTTACCTGATGCAGACATACTAATGTGTAGAAGGCTTCACCTGCAGCATCAGTGAGTTCTGCATTGTGCTTCTGCAATACCAGCATGTCAAAGACGAGCTGTAATGACAAACTCTACAGAATGAAAATACATTCCAACACAAGAAGATAATTGAGTTAAGTTCAGTGCATTAGTATGCTGTGAAGGAAAAAGTGCAGCACCCAACCCAGCAAGCTACGAGGCACTTGTCCCTGTTTTTTAATATACCACCACAAATCATATTAATCTTGGCTTTAGAAATGAAAGGAGGAAAGATTAGATAGATAAGTCAGATAATTCTAATAGTGCACAATTCAGATCAGATCTGAAACGCAAAGGCAATAGACAGATACTTCCATCCTCTTCCCATCTTCAAACAGGAAGATGTGTTATGGACCCAGATGAGACCACCAAATTTATATTACAGCCTGGATAGAGACCAGTAATGTTTTTGTTTAGACAAAATGTGATCTCAGCTACTTACTAAGAGAATAAAGCCACAAATTTCCACAGTTTGAATTAACAAAATAAATTCATAAAATTAGAATAGCAAAACTATATATACTACGTACTTGAACATCCAGTATTAACATGGAATAAATAAGGCTAACTCACTCAGAATCATAGAATCCCTACAGAGCACAAAGAGGCCACTTGGCCCTTCGAGTCTGCACCGACCCTCCAAACAGTATCCCACCTAGCCCCCCACTGTATCCCATAACCTGACATCTACTCTGCCTAATCCAGTTATCCTAAACATCCCTGAATACTATGGGTAATTTCAACATGGCCAATCCACCTATCTTGCACATCTGTGGGAGGAAACCGGAGAACCTGGAGAAAACCCACACAGACACGAGGAGAACGTGCAACCTCCATACAGACAGTCACCCGAGGCTGGAATTGAACCTGGATCCCTGGTGCTATGAGGCAGCAGTGTTAACCTCTGTGCTGCCCAGTCGTCAACTGCGGTCAACCATTATACAAGATACATCAAATAGCAAATGTAGTAAAGACAGATCCCAAAGATTTCTCAGAATCCTCCAGATGTTGGTTACTCCGGTTAGCAGGTTACATTAAAATTATATGAGTGGTTCTATTTCTTCACTTCTGAAGATCTGACTTTGAAACGCTGTGAAAAGCTCCTCTGTCACAAATGCCTCCGAGATTGGTCACATCTGGCAATTCACTTCTCTTTCCCAAGACTGTGCTGCACTGGATTCTGGAGACTGCACTCCAGCATCTATTCACAGGCACAATTCCAGCCTTTCTTTAGACAGCTAGCTTCACCAAACTGGTATTATCCTGGGTTTTCCTGAGCTCCAACATTTCTCAGCCACATCAAGCAACCATTGCTCCTGGGCTTCCTTTACTTCCATTCTCAGGTACACTGAATTTTTAATGGCTCACTAGCGTCTTTTGGGCCCCCACAGCTTGAGACAGCTCTAAAGACTTAATAAAACACTGAATAAAAACCGAAAGAACTGCAGATGCTGTAAATCAGGAACAAAAACAGAAGTTGTTGGAAAAGCTCAGCAGGCCTGGCAGCATCTGTGAAGAAAGAAATCAGAGTTAACATTTCGGGTCTAGTGATCCTTCCTCAGACCCTTCTGAGAAAGGGTCACCGGACCGGAAACATTAACTCTTGATTTTTTTCTTCACAGATGCTAATAAAACACTTAGTTGTACTTTCTGGCTCCCAGGACTTCTGAGCCCCAAGTGCATAGAGCCTGCAGCAGCTGCACCCATTTCAAATGGAGCTTCTTTTCCTTGCTGCCGACCACCTAACTCACCATTAGCCTAAAGATAGCCAGCCATTTTCTGTTTTAATTGCCCATACTCCCTGAACAAGTTAGACCATAGCCACACAAAATGTGGTCAAAAGTATTAGTTGATGGCATTTCACCAATGTAAACTGTACCTTAAGGAAATGTCTGGTTGCAGCAAAAAGTGGTGATTCAGCCTCTTGGGCCTTGGCACATGTTTCAGCCAATGGTGTGAGGGCTTCTAAACATAGTTGGGAAACCTCAGATGTCATTCTAAAGGAAATCGTTAAGGAAAGACACAGAACGCCCACACAAATGCTCATGCACAAAGTTTAAAGAAAACAGGATTTGAGAGAACAATTCAGTTGGGATCTATTCTATAAATGAACAAAATGTATTAGAAATAAGTCATAAAGTGTCAAAATTGCAATAACAAAGATATACAAATTGATTTCCGGAGTTTAGAGGATTATAGAATAAATTCTGCTCATATCTATTCAATACTAAAAGGAATCCACAATGTCAATCAAGAAGCCAAATAACCATCACCTAGTTTCTATTGTCCTATTAAAAAGAACAGCAGTTTCACAGAAATTCAGTAAATTACTGAAGATTAAAGGTTAAATGTCAAAGACACTGCAGAAGTATGCAACGCTTTCTATATTTATCCCAAAATGAAGACTGGACCTTAGCAATAATATGAGCAAAATTACTAATGGTTACTTATGGAGTATTAAATGTGCAACTCCTCTTTTAGTTTCTGGAGAGAAAAGTCTGAGATTGTTCATACACAACACAAATTCATCATTCCAAGATACAAACCAAACATTTGATGTCAGTGTTATAATTCCCATAAATCAGATATTCCAATGACAGTAAAAGGATACGAAGTCATCCCCAATTCCAAAGAGTACATAAGACTTTTAAAAAGTTCTTCAGGAAGTTGCGGTATTTTCTCAGGAAATATCTCACAGATGAAGGTGATTAATTTGTAATACTGGTTACACAATGATGGGAACTAGTATGACAAAAAACATTTTTGAAAATATGCATCTAATTTAATACACATCCAATAAATTTGGCAAAAAGACACGACATACACCCAGAAGTGTAATTGCCAATTATATCCATCTCCAAATGTCCGTACAATTTCATGACCTGGTGATTTTAAATTCTGCAATTACTCAAACAAGGCATATAGTTCTATTGATTTATTTTGTTCTGCACTCTGACAAGTCAAGTCACTAATAACAACCTTGTTCCTGTTTCTGGTGATAGGAAGTAGAAAAGGAATCGCTTTTCTTTATTTTTCACTTGTTTGGCATGTTTAAAAAAACACTTTACCTTTAGCAAGTCTTGTGACATAAGTGGCAGTACAATATTCACTCCATAAAGGACTACATCAGCAGCTGACACTGATCTGTTTCCAGGCTGTCCAGGTTCTTGGCCACGGAATACTTCATCTATACAGGAAATAGTTTACACGAGCGCTTATTAAGTGATCAACAGTAACTGGAGTACATGATGCATTAGTAGGCTGGATGAGGCATCATAAGCTTGCATGTAACATTTCAGTTCTAAAAAGCTGGAAGAATACTGTTTGCTATCATTTTGTACAGTGACATGACTTGCTTAAAGACTGAAATAAACTTTACAGAATTTGTGTTGTTATTCATCGATCAATTACAAAGCAAACTTAGTTCAACTTCTCTATTACCCCTTTTCTTTGAAAAAAAGGCTGATTTGATATTTCAAGGAAAAATGTCAGTTTAACAAAGATCATAATTACTTCTCAGGTCTGATCAAAAAACCAAAAACATTTCTCCATCTAATTTATCCAAGTGTTAAAGTTTACATGCGTCCTGCCATTCCAACATTAACTGCACTGGAGAATTACAGCAAAACACGATATCACTTGGAGAAGCAAAAAATAAGAATCAATGCCCTGCAGGCTCACAATAGCTTCGTGAATTGTGCATGACAAGCTGCAACAGTGTGAATCAAAGGGGGAGTGGGTGGCTCTGTTCCCAATCTACCATCTGTTAATCTAAAATTAGTTCTAATACCGTGGCAACAGGAGACTGGCAACAATTTATTTTCTCCGCTTTTCCCCAAGTGGCACAGCAGGCGGGAGTAACTTGAGCGATGGTGAACCCAAATTCAGATCCTACTATTTAGTACCACAGCATTTTGGTGCTTTAATGCTTTGCACCAGTTCTTACTACACTAAGTGCTATATTCTGTGTTAATTTCAGTCCTAATAAACACAGCGGTTCATTGTAGTATGAATCAAGGTGCCCCAGAATACAAATGCATCAAAGGGATAAATTTAGTACTGTTAGTGAGCTTTTTCATAACTTTACAGTGTCAACAGCTGTCATAATTTACATGTGATATACATTAGTTAGAAATTCTTTGTATGCTGTCACGACTTAACTGTGAAGTGTACTGATAATTGTGCCCCACTGTCACATAAGGCATCATCATAAAAGGCACAAAATCCCATTTAGACCACCAAGATGACCAATTTGCCTGATGAATTGCTATACCATTAACAGAAAGTAACTTCATTTATTGGAACACACCTAATTTTAACAAATGGCAGAGAAAGGAAAGGATTCCAGATATGTGACTTAAACGATGCCCCTTTAAAAGCTCCAAATTGACACACATACTCATGATTAAGGCAAACAAAATTGCTTGATACACATTACGGGTGGAAAAATAAAGATAGAGGAAACAAATTTCCAAAGCTCAAGGGTGGGTTAAATTATCTCTCAGTTGTTTCTGATTTCTGGGACAGGTGGGATGGGGGCTGGGATGGGGGGTGGCGTGGGGGGAGGTGGTGGTGGTGGTGGGGAAGAGACGGGGAGAGGACGGGGAGAGAGGGGAGGGGATGGGGGCGGTGAAGAGAGGGGGAGGGGACGGTGGGGGGGTGAAGAAGAGAGAGAGGACGAGGGGGATCGGGAGCGGGGGAAAGAAGGAGAGAGGACGAGGGGGATGGGGAGGGAGGGAAAGGAGTAGGCAGTCAAATGGGATAGTATGCCAGGGAAGGAGATGCCATATAGATGATGGGAGCTATAAGTAGTTGAAAATGGCTGGGCTGTGCTGATAGCAACCCATTTCATGACAGGACTGGGATTGTGAAGATACACTGTAGGTAATAGATAAGGAAGGTGGTGTTCATGCTCTGAAACCAAAATTCGATGCTGAGTCCTGAAGGCTATAAAGGTACCTAAGCACAAGACAAGTTGTTGTTCCTTCAGCTTGTGTTGAGCTTTGCTGGAACACTGCAGTAGGCCTGAGACAGAGACGTTGGCATGGGAACACGCAAGGTCACGGTTATTTTACAACAAAACATAGGTATTGTGCAAAGTGGTCATCCAATGTACAGGGGAGCGCATCGTGAGCAATGAATACAATTAGTATTCATTGTACTGAATAAAATGCAGGAACAACGCTGCTTGACTTAAAGGGGTGTCCGGGGCCTCAGATGATGAGGAGGGAGGAAGTGAATGGAAGTAAAACAGTCAAAGTATTGACTCACAGCTCTGAAAAGCAGCATTGTCTCGTACAGCTAAAAATATGATCACCTAATTGTTCCAAGTTGAAAACTTCTCCTGGTACTTCAGCTACACAGAAGCCCAACTTCCATTCCAGTTTATAGTCCAAAAAAGGAAAAACGTGTGGTTCCTTACAACGTGAAAAATCTCCAATAATGCACAAATCATATTGTACAATGGTATTGTTAACTGACATCACCGTACACAACAGTTAATGCATACCTGTGTCACTGAAGTCTATAAACTCCTTTGATAGGAGATTAGTCAGAAGTTCCATAATGAGCAACAAGTCTTGATACTGTTCTTCTTCCGCTGCCACATCAGTCCTTTTCCTGCCTAAGCTGTTCTTAGAGTAAACTTGTAGTAGTGTCAGACAAGCTTCATACAACTTCATGGCTTTTGACTGAAAATTAAAACATAATGTTAGACTTTTGGAATGCTTATAAAACTTAATGTAAACCTGCATTCCAAATAAGCACTGGACTTTGCTCCCTGTTGTAAGAGAAACTCATGGCAATGAAGTTGATAAATCTATAGAGATAAGCAGGTGAGTCCACATTGTCACAAACATACATAACTTTTGTGCAATTACTTATATTTGTATTTTAAAATGTGAAATGTGTGTAAAATATTCCAACACTTTAGGCAATTACAAATAAAGGCTTATCCCATTTTTTTGGATATGATGCAGTGTAATTTGTAGTGATTGTTAACAAAAGAAAACTCATTTATCTAACAACTTTTACATTCTCAGGTCACTGCAAAATGTTTTGCAGTAACTGCCAATGAATAACTTGAATGATGTCACTATTCTGTAGATAAGTGAAACAGTACAGCAAGATTCCACAAATGAGGTAGGTGAACAGACTGTTTTGGTATTGGTTACGATTTCCATTTAATCAGGACACCAGGGAAGTTCCCCTACTGCTAATTAAAAAGTATCAGTGGATCTATTATGTGCATGCTTGGAAAAATGACACCTGATATTGCAACATATCTTTTAACAGTGCAACAGAGCATTAGTGATGATAAAACTCCAAGTTTGAAATTTGAACCTAGAACCTCCTGATCCAGCAACAAGAGTGATGCAACTTCACACTTTTTGTAGCGAAGAACTACTGAACTAAAGGAAAGAAATTTTGGCAAAATTAAAGCATTTCTGCTTATTAGAAAACAAAACATGTAATACTTTTCAAGCGAAGACAATTTTAACATTAATTTCTTCCTATGAATTCTTACATTCAATTATGTTTATTTTTCATCAGTTTTTGCAGGCGATTAGCCAGTACATGCAAAAAGCAGACAAAGCCAGAGCTTATTTTCCCCTCTTAATTCATTCAAGCGATGTCAAAAGCACTGGCATCCACTTGTCCTTGAACTGCTGTAGTCCATAAAGCATAGGTACACTTGCAGTGCTGTCATGGATTTCCAGTATCTTAACCAGTGACAGTGAAGGATGGGATGTGCTTGGAAGAGAATTTGCTGATGGTGGTGTTCCCACATGTGTTCTTCTCATTTTTCTAGGCACTAGGTTTGAAAACATCATTGTCACATCCTGCAAATCTTTTAACCTTGTCCTCTGTCACCAAACAATTTCTAACCCAAACCAAAAGATTACCTTCAGTTATTTTATTCATACAGGGACGTGGGTTTTACTACCTAGCCCAGCATTTATTTCCATCCCTAGTTGCTGTTTAGAAAGTGAGCAATGCCTGTGACTGCGCAGTTGCATTTGCTCCTGCTTCTCAAAGACACTGCCCCGCATGGACCTCAGATGAAAATAAATTCAGAGGGAACATCAGTGGGAGCTGCTTCTTGAACTGCAGAGTCCATATGGATACACCCATACTGTTAGGGAGTGAGTTCTAGGATTTTGACCTACTAACAGTGAAGGAACAGCAATATATTTCTAAAGGGTCAATGGATTCAAAATGTTAATGCTGCTTCCTCTCCACAGGTAGACTTGCTGAATTACTCCAGCAATTTCTGTTTGTTTCAAATCTTCTGTACATCCTCAGTACTTTGTTTCATTTAATATATGTCCAAGTCAGGATAGTGAACTTTCAGGCAGTGATGTTCCCATGTATCTGCTACTCTATCTTTCTAGATGGCAACATTCATGTACTCCAATTTTGGCAAATAATTTCTTCAGTGAAACCTTACTAAATGCCCTTGGGCAGATAAAATCCATAGAACCTTCCTTGTCCACTTTCTTTGTAACCTCAGAAACATTAAACAAGATGGTGTCTGACCAATAAGAAAATTTCTGCCGTATTCTCAGTATAGTTTAACCTATATGTTTTAATGAGTTAATTCACATTCTGCCAAGTCAAGTTGCAAAGAAACTGGGCAAATTTCAGCAGTTGCTTCTATGGATTCACTGGGTATCTGGAGGATGGAAGAATATCTCCTTATTTGTCTCTGCAGATTGCATGAAGAAGTCCCTATCTGTTTTTGGGATAGCCACTTCTTTGCTTGATCAACTCCACTGGATTGGTTTTAACAACACTCTGACACATTTGCATTTAAAAAATATCACTTCAGGGATTAGTGCTGAATATATTCAATATTAAAAACCAACTGAAGCATTCACGTGTAGGCTTGTCTTGCGATCTTCACAAGTAGAGAAGAGATCTTTGTCCTTTTGAGAATCTTGAGGTCTTTGTGCAAGAAGATGATTTCTCATTTGAATACATTTAGCTTGCAAGTATTCAAGATTCGACTGGGATGTGATACTTTCCCTAACAAATAAGGTGTTAATTTATTAGGGATATACAAGGTGTAGAGCTGCATGAACACAGCAGGCCAAGCAGCATCAGAGGAGCAGGAAGGCTGACGTTTCGGGCCTAGACCCTTCTTCAGAAATGGGGAAGGGGAAGGGGGTTCTGAAATAAATAGGGAGAGAGGGGGAGGCGGATAGAAGATGGATAGAGGAGAAGATAGGTGGAGAGGAGACAGACAGGCCAAAGAGGCGGGGATGGAGCCAGTAAAGGTGAGTGTGGGTGGGGAGGTAGGGAGGAGATAGGTCAGTCCAGGGAGGATGGACAGGTCAAGAGGGCGGATGAGATAGTAGGTAGGAAATGGGGGTGGGACTTGAGGTGGGAGGAGGGGATAGGTGGGAGGAAGGACAGGTTAGGGAGGCGGGCACGAGCTGGGCTGGTTTTGGGATGCGGTAGGGGGAAGGGAGATTTTGAAGCTTGTGAAGTCCACATTGATACCATTGGGCTGCAGGGTTCCCAAGTGGAATATGAGTTGCTGTTCCTGCAACCTTCGGGCGGCATCGTTGTGGCACTGCAGGAGGCCCAGGATGGACATGTCGTCTGAGGAATGGGAGGGGGAGTTGAAATGGTTTGCGACTGGGAGGTGCAGTTGTTTAGTGCAAACCGAGCGTAGGTGTTCTGCAAAGCGGTCCCCAAGCCTCCGCTTGATTTCCCCAATGTAGAGGAGGCCACAACGGGAACAGCGGATGCAGTATACCACATTAGCAGATGTGCAGGTGAACATCTGCTTGATGTGGAAAGTCTTCTTGGGGCCCGGGATGGGGGTGAGGGGGGAGGTGTAGGGGCAGGTGTAGCACTTCCTGCATTTGCAGGGAAAAGTGCCGGGTGTGGTGGGGCTGGAGGGGAGTGTGGAACGGACAAGGGAGTCATGGAGAGAGTGGTCCCTCCGGAAAGCAGATAAAGGGTGGGGAGGGAAAAATGTCTTTGGTGGTGGGGTCGGATTGCAGATTGCCGGAGATGGAGACAGAGGGGTCCAGGAAGGAGAGAGAGGTATTAGAGATGGTCCAGGTGAACTTAAGGTTGGTGGAACTGGAAGGTGTTGGTGAAGTGGATGAACTGAAAATCCGCCGCCTCTGCCTCCGCGCTTACTTCTTCAACTGTGAGCCTAACCCACCCTCCATGATCCCTTCTCCCACCTCCAACACACCCCCTCCTCCTGGGCACCACCCCAAGGCCTCCTACCCTCCCTCGACCTCTTCATCTCCAACTGCCATCGAGACATCAATCGCCTCAACCTCTCCACCCCTCTCACCCATTCCAACCTCTCCGCTGCAGAACGTGCAGCCCTTCGCTCCAATCCCAACCTCACCATAAAACCCGCGGACAAGGGAGGCGCAGTTGTAGTATGGCGCACTGACCTCTACATCGCTGAGGCCAGGCGCCAACTCTCCGACACCTCCTCCTACCGCTCCCTTGATCATGACCCCACCCCCGACCACCAAACCATCATCTTCCAAACCATCCACAACCTCATCACCTCAGGCGACCTCCCACCCACAGCCTCCAACCTCATTGTTCCCCAACCCCACACTGCCCGCTTCTATCTCCTTCCCAAAATCCACAAACCTGACTGCCCTGGTCGACCCATTGTCTCCGCCTGCTCCTGTCCCACCGAACTTATCTCCACCTATCTCGACTCCATTTTCTCCCCCTTGGTCCAGGAACTCCCTACCTACGTCCATGACATCACCCACGTCCTCCACCTCCTCCAGGTCTTCCAATTCCCCGGGCCCCAACACCTCATCTTTACCATGGACGTCCAGTCCCTATCCCCCTGCATTCCCCATACAGATGGTCTAAAGGCCCTCCGCTTCTTCTTGTCCCGCAGGCCCGACCAGTCCCCCTCCACTGACACCCTCATCCGCTTAGGTGAGCTCGTCCTCACCCTCAACAACTTCTCTTTCAATTCCTCCCACTTCCTACAGACAAAGGGGGTGGCCATGGGTACCCGCATGGGGCCAAGCTATGCCTGCCTCTTTGTAGGTTACATGGAACAATCCCTCTTCCGTACCTACACTGGCCCTAAACCCCACCTCTTTCTCCATTACATTGATGACTGTATCGGCACCACCTCGTGCTCCCACAAGGAGCTCGAACAGTCCATCCACTTCACCAATACCTTCCAGTTCCACCAACCTTAAGTTCACCTGGACCATCTCTAATACCACTCTTTCCTTCCTGGACCTCTCTGTCTCCATCTCCGGCAACCACCTAGAAACCGATATCCATTTCAAGCCCACCGACTCCCAGCTACCTAGAATATACCTCCTCTCACCCACCTTCCTGCAAAAATGCCATCCCCTATTCCCAATTCCTTCGCCTCCACCGCATCTGCTCCCAGGATGAGGCATTCCACTCCCGTACATCTCAGATGTCCTCGTTTTTCAAGGACCGCAACCTCCCCCCTCTCAGTGGTCGAGAATGCCCTCCACCGTGTCTCCCACATTTCCCGCAACTCATCCCTCACACCCCGTCCACGCAATAAGAACCAAAACAGAATCCCCCTCGTCCTCACGTACCACCCCACCAACCTCCGGATCCAACGCATCATCCTCCGACACTTCCACCATTGGCAATCCGACCCCACCACCAAAGACATTTTTCCCTCTCCACCCTTATCTGCTTTCCAGAGCGACCACTCTCTCCATGACTCCCTTGTCCGCTCCACACTCCCCTTCAGCCCCACCACACCCGGCACTTTTCCCTGCAAACGCAGGAAGCGCTACACCTGCCCCTACACCTACCGACTCACCCCCATCCCAGGCCCCAAGAAGACTTTCCACTTCAAGCAGATGTTCACCTGCACATCTGCTAATGTGGTATACTGTATCCGCTGTTCCCGTTGTGGCCTCCTCTACATTGGGGAAACCAAGCGGAGGCTTGGGGACCGCTTTGCAGAACACCTACGCTCGGTTTGCACTAAACAACTGCACCTCCCGTCGCAAACCATTTCAACTCCCCCTCCCATTCCTCAGACGACATGTCCATCCTGGGCCTCCTGCAGTGCCACAACGATGCCATCCGAAGGTTGCAGGAACAACAACTCATATTCCGCTTGGGAACCCTGCAGCCCAATGGTATCAATGTGGACTTCACAAGCTTCAAAATCTCCCCTCCCCCTACCGCATCCCAAAACCAGCCCAGCTCGTGCCCGCCTCCCTAACCTGTCCTTCCTCCCACCTCAAGCCCCACCCCCATCTCCTACTTACTAGCCTCATCCGCCCCCTTGACCTGTCCGTCCTCCCTGGACTGACCTATCTCCTCCCTACCTCCCCACCTACACTCACCTTTACTGGCTCCATCCCCGCCTCTTTGGCCTGTCTGTCTCCTCTCCACCTATCTTCTCCTCTATCCATCTTCTATCCGCCTCTCCCTCTCTCCCTATTTATTTCAGAACCCCCTTCCCCTCCCCCATTTCTGAAGAAGGCTCTAGGCCCGAAACGTCAGCCTTCCTGCTCCTCTGATGCTGCTTGGCCTGCTGTATTCATCCAGCTCTACACCTTGTATATCTCAGATTCTCCAGCATCTGCAGTTCCTACTATCTCTGTTAATTTATTAGTACAATGTTTCCTCACCAAGTTGGTATCTGCAGTAAACAAGTCATTGTAATAACCAGGAAAGCCTCAAACTTGATATATTAAAACAGTGATCTTGTGATTTTTAGGGAAGCAATTGTTTGTTGTTAATGTTTCATATATATCGTGCAACGAATAATCAGTGCTGGCTATATTCAAGACAAAGTTTTTTAAAAAAAAACGTACATGGGATGGGTGTGTTGCTGGTTAAGACCTTGAGAAAGTGGTGGTGAGTGATTAATCAACTGCTGCAATCCATATAGTGTAGGTACGTGTACTGCGCTTATGAAGGGAGGTCAGGCAACAGCAATGGTGAAGGAATGGTTATAGAGTTTAAAGTCAGGATGGTGTAAGGCTTGGAGCAGAAACATGCAGGTGATGGCATTCCCAAGCATCTGTTACTCTTAATCCTCTAGGTGGCAGAAGGTGCCATTAAAAAACATGGTGAGTTACTGAAATGGCAAACACTGCTGTCATTGTACATCATTTGTGATGGGAATGAATGCTGAATGTGGACGTGGTGCCAATCAAGTGGGCTACTTTGTCCTGGATGGTGTTGGGCTTTTTGTGTATAGTTAGAGCTATACTCCACTGGTCAAGTGCAGTGTATTCCATTACACTCCTGATTTGCATTTTGTAAATTGTGGATTGGCTTTCAGGAGTCAGGAAATGAGTTACTACAGTTCTGACTTGTTCTTGTAGCCACAGTATTTATATGGCTGGTCCAGTACAGTTTTTGGTCAATGGTAACCCTCTCGATGTTGGCAGTGGGAGCTTCAGCAATGTTAATACCATTCACTGTTAAGGGGAGATGACTGGTTTTTCTCTTTTTGCAAATGGTCATTGCCTGTTACTTATGTATCTTGAATGTTACTTCCCACTTAACAACCCAAGCTGAGTATTGTCCAGGTTTTGATGTATATGCATACGGACTGCTTCAGTAGCTGAGAAGTTGCGAATTGTGTCAAACATTATGCAGTCACCTGTGAACATCCCCATGTATGATTTGTGATAGAAGAAATGAAGCAGCTGAAGATGGTTGTGACCAGGTTACTATCCTGAGTAAGTTCTGCAGTGATGTCCTTGGCACTCAGACATATTAGCTCTTCTTGTCAATCAACAAAATACAGAAAACCTCTGCAGAGATACATAGCCAGTTTACTCATCCAATTGATGAGAAACGTAACTGCAGAGTTTTACATTCTGGTACTTATAAAATGTAGTATACCTGAATATCATTCTTCAATGGATAAAATACAACCCGTTCAGAACTTGTAGCCATTTCTAATCAAACAGTTAAATTAATTTTATGATCTTTTTAAGGAAGTAATCACATGGCATATAATCTTCACCTCAACAGTTTTTAAAACTGTCTTACCTTCATTCATGTCCTATATATTTAGACAGCAATAAAAAACAGAAGCAGAAATGCACAAACATGCTAAAGGCTAATATTTTGCTTTTGGACAAAGGTTTTACTGGCTTACACTGACATATAAAAGCAGTGGAATTTGTTCTTCATCATCATGAAAAGCAAGCATCTAAGACATTTTTCCCCCCACAGAACAGGAAATAACAATATTAACTGTGGGTGGGTGTAAATTATGAACCATCTAGTTGTTTATCAGTGAAGTGTCCTTACAAGTGAAGATGTGAGAAAAAGAGTATATTTGACAGATTGTACTTACCTCTCCAAGGTAGCAGATTTGTTTATGTGCAACTTCAACAAAAACTTCTATGATCAAGTTAACAGTCTCAGGTGTATTCTTGTAAATTTCCATTAAACCAATACAATTATTGAGAAAATCCATTAAAAAGGTGAAGAGAATGGCCACATTGTCTATTTGCGTTGCTTCAGCTATTCCACAAAGTGCCTCCAGTGTAGCAATGATCTCCTGTTTCACCTCTTCTTCCTGGCAGATTTGCTGAAAGTTTTCTTGGTTTATAACATTAAGAAATCGTTGTTGGAGTGGCTGGAGAACCTAAATTTTTTGTTAAACAAACATAACAAAGTGAATCACCACGGACTTTTTCTCATCATATCAATCAACATAATCAAGATTTGTAGCTATGATCCTTTTTTGGGATGACTGAAGAATGTGAAGGAGTATCCACTTTATTTTTAATTGAAAATAGCTCTGCAATATTTCCACTGAAAAATTAAATAACCAATGTCATCAAACAGGTACAAGTCTAAATTGTAGCTCAGCTTGCATTACAGCTTTGATCTCACTGATCAGAGAGCTGGGGCATTGCCTAGTATAGCATAGATAAAAGGTAAAAGATGCCATAGGTCTACTGGATCACAGGCCCGCTGCCTCATTACAGAGAGACGACTGGTGGTGGTTTAACTCGAGGATCACCACACTTCAAGCAAAGCGAGATGTTGAGGAAAGTCCCTCACAGTAACCCTTAGCCAGTGCGGAAATTGAACCCATACTGTTGGTGTCACTCTCTGTCGCAAACCAGTCATCTAGCAAATTGAGCTAAGACACTCCCAGCTAACATTCACATGCACCTTAATGTAAAATAAAATCTCAAAACACCTTACAGGATCAGTATAGAATTTATGATTACACAAAATTACTTAAGGTATTAACTAAATGACCAGGTGATTTTATTTTAAACCAAAGGAAGATTTTTAAGGAATGTCTTAAAAGAGGAAGGCTCGATAGAGACGTACAGAGAGGGAATTCCAGGGTTTAGGTCTTGAGCCATGGTTTAGAATTTGTTATGTATACTGTTATCCACAAACTGACTTTAAAGGATCATGGCAATGATGTCAAACAAAATCAGAAATTCAGCCAGATCAAGCTTTCATCTCAACACAATGCGTGATGTTGCTTTTCCCACAGTGGTCTACTAACCCCTAAAGCCATAATCCTTTTTAAACAGTCTGAACTTAATACTAATAACCCTTAATACTCGTGTGCAGAAGAGATTTACAAAATTGGTTCCAGAAATGAGACACCTGAGTTATGAGGATAGATTGTAAACATTGCAACTTGGAGAGGAGATAGCTGAGAGGAGATTTCATAGAGATTCTCAAAATCACAAGTGACTGGACAGAGTGGGTAGGGAGAAGCTATTCACACTCATGAAAGAAAAAAAAGAACGGGAGAGCATAGATTTCAAGTGATGTGAAGATGAAGCTAGGGTGATGTAAGAAAGGACTTTTTCATGCAGTGAGTTTTTAGGGAATGGAAACGCCTAGAAATGTGGTGAGGGCAGGTTCAATTGAGATATTCAAGACAACATTTGACGATCATTTAGCTAGAAGTGGCATACAGGGATATGGGGAAAAGGCAGAAGATGGTCATTAGGCAACAGAAACGGTGCAGGCACAATGAGACGAATGACCTCCTTCTGCACCATAACAATTCTGCAATTCAGTCCTTTGTTTTTAGCTTTAAAGTCAGATACCGCTGTCCACTTCTCCTCCAGTTCCTGTTCTGAACTTGCACTGGGCTTCACTTAGTGACAGAAATTAGTTGGTGTAGTTAATTCTGCCTGCATTGACCATCTTCTGTCACTAGAGGCAGTCTGGTCAATTAAAACCTCGTCAGTTATGTGAGGACTTGCTATACAGTTGAGAAGCATCTAAACAACAAAAACTACACATTACCTTGGCAATCTGCAACCACTTATGCACACAGCTCTGACTGTGTAAAAAGGGAATTGATATGTGGTGAAACAGAGCACAGATATCCAGAGAATATAAGTGTAGAAGAACCTATGTGGTTGAACAAATGTGTAATAATCCCTGCATGTCAAGCATATAGATGACGATCTTAATGACACAGCCATAAAGAGTAGGATGCCAGCAGCGCTTCAGTCACATGTGTTGCCTGGGGAAGGTGGCAGTTGTGAGAGTTTAAGCGAACTTCCCCCATCAAGTCAGTTATCTCAATGTGTCTGTCGATATTGAGTGAATGACCGATGGCACAGGGGACTGTCTGTAAATTACATTAACTAGATCATAAAGTAAACAGTGCACCCGCTAAAAAGGGACTAAAGAATTTTTAGTTGTCACTCTCTCGGGGATCAAAGATCTTTTAAATTCAGTGAAGTCCATTCTCCTAATCATCTACGGTAAACAAATCTTGCGGACATGGACATGTTAGTGTTTGCGTTTTAGATGTTGTTTTGCCTCAAATCAACGACACAGGAGCCCAGTCAATCTCTCATAAGCTCATTCCACAATTAAAGGTACTAAGAGAAGGCTCACTTCTACCAAGAAATTAATAATATTTTGCTGCATTTCATGATGTCATACTGCACATAGGATAGTAGCTAGAACAGGGTAGAGAAAAGCCCAAAAAGACACGCAAAGTAATAAAGTAGCAGGAATAAAAGACTTGAATATGTAATGCAAAAAGGCTAAGTAGCTCCTACATAACAAAAGAGGCCAAGTGATTAATATGCAAGGCTCACAACTCAAATTTTCCTTAGATCATAAAGAACCCAGTGAAAGAAGGAAAATCTCTGAGTCTGTAACAATATTATTCTGTTCATTTGTGGAGGTGTATCAAATAGATCTGTCTCAAAGGCTTCCAGCAGCTGCTGGCACAGTGCCTGCTTCATTTCTATATGGGTCAGGATGTCAGGATTAGCAGTGTTACCATTAACCTCTTGATCACGTTCAGGAACACCTATTACCCATTCGTAGCACAAAACTGTGAATCTCACAACATACTGTCAAAATTTACAAAACTCCGCACATGGTACACCTTTGTTTCTGCATTCGACTGACTTGTGTAATTATCACTGCGAAACTCATCTGCAACAACAGTGATCTTACAAAGAAGCATCAAGAGCTGTGGAAGCAGTGAGAATCCCTATTCATCCAGCAATCATACTGTTGCTTGCTGCTGCTTATAATACAGTTGAGACACTATAAAAGTATCAATGACAGCTCCCAGCATATCATATTTGCATGAAGGAAACTGCACATGCCATGCCAAATGAGTGCAAGCCTCTACAATCCTCAGGAATCTAGAAATCTTTTAAAGTTTGATGGCTACCCGGCAAATTAAGAGAGCCCTGTCAAATTGTATGACTTGCAATGTCCTGGTAAAAAAGATATTACTGCTTCATGCAATCAGTTGGTGGCATAAGAGTTAACACCTGTGGCTTCATCCTCTAACATAGTAAGAGCTGTATTTGCCATAAGTTTGGTTTCAGATATGACTGCAATGTTCAGATACCCTTCACTGATTCCAGATTGAAGTGCACTCTTCTGAGTCAGAGCTTCTGAAAATGATTTCATTAATTGTGTCTAGGCCATCCAATCTGCTGGATGGGTAGTGTTGAGAATTGTGGCTCTCTCCTAATGCTGGTTCATTAACCTTGCTTCTCCCACCAACCTTTTATCACATGACTTCCACCAGCACGCGAATTCTCCTTGCGCAGTTCTCAAATACTGCCTTAGCAGTCGTTTCAAAATAAAATGCTTTCCAAATCTGTCCACCTGCAAAACTTTGCCCTTTAAGAGGTAATGCATTTTTTTTTGGGAGATGGGAATGCAGACAAAAATAGCTGAACTTAGGATATGATGTGACCGTATGCATACAACCACCATTTGCTACTGCATACAAAATCGCAAAGCTATATATTTTAGGTTGTCAGTGTAGGCGGCTTGATTTTATCTGTACTGAATGGAACATATATTTCAACAGAGCAACTAGAGATGCAAGTGATAATGTAAATTAATATCCAAGATCAGCTGCTTTGGTGGAGACCAGTGCATTGAGCACAAAGTTTCTTTATGAATATGCTCTATTTTAGAAATATTTAGTTCAATAATTTACCTTAGATATGCTAGAAACCCCTCCAAATTTTGGCAAAATTGTCAACTTTGTCCACATTCAAATTCTCACCTCTGTCCAATACTGTTGTTTTGTTTCTGTATCCACATGAGCAAATCCTGCCAAAACCAGTGCTTTCATCAACGTTCGTTGTACACTGCTGGGAAGGTAGTTTAGTGGTGGACTTCGACTTGCATATTGTTTTGCCAAATTCCACCAACTTTCACATTTTATTACTAAATTGGCCCTAAAAGGAAACAGCTATCAATTAACACTACTGGAAAAATATGTGCAAATCAACAGCAATTATCTGAATGTAGTTATGACTTCATAATTAATATTACAATTGGCATTAAAATCTTGAACAAAAACAAGCACTTGCTTGGAAAAAAAACGTATTCTATATTTCATTGCAATGATATTAAGTGGTTACAAAAGAAATGCAATGAAAAATGAAAAGGCCTATTCTCTCAAAAATATATTTTTGATATATCAGTAGGTTTAGAGTGAGAAGTCTTTTGAACATTCATTTGATTATTTTGGAATATATTTGGGGCATTCACACTTTTGAACTTTTATATACAATACACTTTAGAACATTAAAGTCATTAATCAACAAGCTGCTTGATGAATTACTCCAAGTTAAAAGTTGATGCAATCAGTTCTTTTGATAAAAGGTTCAAATGGCTGCATGATGATTGCCAAAAAACACAACATAATTTTCTTAATGAAATCACATTTTTGAGTGCTGGCCACCTGCTTGAGGCTACACACAATGATAAAAGCATCATCGGCTTCCAACAAACTACCCTTTAGTGTACAAGTCAATTCAGTGAGGCAGTGCATGGCTAAGAAAACTTTTGGAGAAACAACTAAAGAAGCCATTATACGTTCTTACCCTGAAAAATTACATGCAAAGAGAATCAAAAAAGGAAGAGCTTCATGGAAAAAAACCAATTGGTTCTATAGACATTAAAAATTAAATATAATTTAGGAATTTCTAATAAATAGAACAGAATACAAGAGCAAAAAAGTCATGAGAATTCAACACGAAATAATGATTAGGTCACATCTGAGATACTTGTGAAATTTTGGGTTCCTTAATAGTGTAAGGAGATACAATAGCTTTGGAACAAATGAAACACAGATTTACCAGGAAGGGGGATTTAAATTACGAAGAAAGCCACTAAGGAGCAGTTATGCTCTAAAATTTTATATATGGTCAAAATGGAAAACATTGATCATTTCCATTAGCATATCCAAAGACAAATTACCATTAAAGCTACACATTAAATACACAAATAGACACACCAGAACAATTTTTGTGCAGTCAACAGAACATGGAAAGATTTCCCATACCATATAGGTGGCATGGTGGTTTAGCTGTTAGCATTGCAGCCTCACAGAGACCCAGGTTTGATTCCCACCTCAGGGAATTGTCTGTGTGGAGTTTGCACATTCTCCCCGTGTCTGAGAGAGTTTCCTTCAGGTGCTCTGGTTTCCTCCCACAATCCAAAGATGTGCAAGGTAGGCGGATTGGTCATGCAATTGCAGTGTCCAGGGTTGTTAAGGCTAGGTGGATTAGCCATGGTAAATGCAGGATTAGGGTAGGAATGGTGGGATGCCCCTCGAAAGGTCAGTGTGGACTCGTTGGGCCAAATCTCCTGCTTCCACACTGTAGGGATTCTATGATCTATGATAATGCTAAATCAAATAGAACTTACCAAAAGGTCCATATGAAGAAGAACATGAAAGAGAATGTGGACAAAGCAGGAAAATGGGCCTGCAAAAACTGACCTACAAGGAAGATTTAAATTCAACACAGACAAGAAGGGTCAAATGGGCCTGGACCAGCTCTGTTCTATAATTTCAGTGTTGGTTATTCCTTTAAATGCCACACAAGAGTTGAAGAATAAGTTTCTAACAGTGGCAATATAAATAGGGAAGAGGCAAAATATTGCTCAATAAAAAATGGTTTGAGAAAAATTAACTGTTGAAAGTTAGCTGTTAAATCTGGACAACTAACTGGTTTTGTTTTGATATTACCATCTGCAGAGTACTCACCGTTCTCTCCTCTCTACTAGCGTTACAAGGAGTTGGACCGTGTCATTTGCCAGGTCCTGTTCTGCAATCCACACTGAAAGATTACTGATAACTTTTTCCAGAAGGTAACCAACAATCCACTGCGCACCTTCAGTGTCTGCACCAAATGCTGTACTTAATGGTAAACTTATCTGTAAGGAAAGAGGATATACTTCTAAAAAATAGTATTGACGCTTATTCACCTGTTTGGGTTAACAGGACACTTAGTGAAGCTTATTCAATAATAACAGGGCACTATCTTCATGTTCTTGGGAAGCCACAAGTAAATTTGTCAATTTATTTTTATCTCATTAATAATTTTGTTGCTTTTCAAACCCACTGATTTCTTCTTTAAAACTACTTCCAAATTTTTCACTTTTGAGTTGTTTTGCACATTGCATCTAACAGTACTTCTCATGATTATAGAATAAAGACAATATAGCATATGATCATCATTTCAGTATCTCAAGTTTGTAGGGACAGGCTGTGCACAAACAGTAGGCAATTGGGAAATCAAATTTATTTCTCGGGGGGCTGTTTTAGAGAAGATCAAATTACTGAGAAAACCTCTTCTAATAATATCATGGGTTCTATCTGAACAGGTAGAGGGTATCTCAGGTTAGCTTATTACATAGAGAGCAGCTCCAGCAACATTGCATTTCTTCAATAATCAAGCATCAGACTAAGTTTGGTGTTCAAGTCCTTGGCTTGAAACCAATGCAACCAACTAACTAGAACTTTAATCTTGTTTGCATAATTGCAACTGCCACAATATATTCTGACCTTCACTTCTTTCTTCCCCACCAAGCACCAGAAAAAGATCCCTTTAGCTTGCTATTCTTAGTCAATTCTTTTACCCTTTCATAAATAAGGGACAGAAGACAGTAGGATAAAATTTCACAATGTAATGCAACATAACCAGTAACTTAGGAAATTGAAAATGTTAATTAAACGACCAAACCAAATTTATTGATGATTTTCCATCCAACAAGCAGTTGCTCAAACCTAGGAACGTTCTTTGATGTGAAAAGAAATCTCAATACTGTGAATAGTTTAGTCTCTGCTTTATAAAAAACACAAAGGTTTTGGAGAAGATTAAAAAACAACTCTTGGATGGATACAGAACTATAAAATTACAGGTAACAGGAAGACTGAATAAGCTGGAGTACTTTTCTAGAAAAGGAAAGAAACTAAGTGGTGACCCAGCAAAAATCTTTAAAATGATAAGGGGATTCAATAGAGTAGATACAGAGGCATTTCTGCTTTGAGGATTCAAATGCTAGGGGCTATAAATATAAAGTAATCATTATTAAATCTAGCAGCAAATTAAAGAGAAGCTTCTTTACCCAGAGTTTGGTAAAAGTACAGAAGACACTACAAGGGAGTTTTGAAGGTAGGTGTGAAAACCTGAAGCGTTAATCTTTTCCAATTCTTATCAAAGCACATGCACCTGAAATATTAACTGTTTCCAAAGATGCTAACTACACCAATAATTTAAATGAATTACTGTATTCCCAAGAAGAGATACCAATACTGATCCAGTCACCTATGGAATGTGTGATTCCGATACTGTGCAGGGGTAAAAGGGCTTCATGCCAAACAGGGGCCCAAAAGCATGACTTCTGTTGGATACACATGAAAGGGACAGATGAAGAATTCTTCAAACTTTCTTAAAATCAACCTTATCAATTACACAGAATTGCTCCTACCTGAAGTGGACAAAGAAGCATCATTCTACAATAACTCATTACATCCAATCTACCAATTATACAGGTAGAACTGAATGTACTTTTTTTAAAATTGAAGAAAATCAGCAGTCAGGCTAATATATAGGTACAAAACAGTGAAAAATATAAAGGTATAAACCACAGTCTACTTTAAAGCTTATAGGCATCAAAGGGATGCAATGACCTACCAGATACAATACTCATCCAGTTATGAAGAGGAACAGGCACATACTACAGGTCAAATTAGGGGGCATGCATAAGAATTTAAAAATAATTAAGTGAACATACTAGTATAGATAAGGAAGACCAGATCTGAAGGAAAATCCTCAAAATTGCTTAAGAAATGGCAGTTTGTAAATCTACAAGTATATTCATTAGTAAACACCAAAAAACCACACAATTCCTCACCTGATCGTAAAGTTTTTCATCTACTAAAAGGTAGGTCTTTGTCCACCGTTTCAGGAACCACATAATATCTTTTCCCATTTGTGGACTAAGGAGTTCTGCTAAGTTTGCCCTTGTGGCTCGAGACTCAACTTCTGAAGCTCTCAGAACAGCAGCTAACAACCTGGAAATTGATATTTCAGGTCATTTTAAATAGGACTTAGAATCAAGATGGTTTGTCACATATACAGCAGTTGTTTAATATGAAAGATATGGACAAGAATTATCCAACTGATAGCTTAAATCGCTGTTTTATGGTGAAAACAGGTTGAAGATATTTATTAAACAACTGTTCGATCTCCAGAGTAGAGGACATGAATAGAGATACATAGACTGAACATTCAACTTTATTTGGAGTGTAATAAAGTCAATTTCAGAATGGCCACCCATTATACATGCTCTTGACTCATCCTAGCCCTCCAATTTTCCATTCCAATTAAGTCCTTGAATCTCCCACAGTTTGAAGTTCAACCAATAACAATAAAACAACGGCAAGTGAACTGGCAAAAGGAAATGTAAACATCAAATTTAAAATATACTTCTATTGATAATATACACAGTTACTTTTCTTTTAATATAGTTATCAATGACCAACAAAAGGGCTGTACACCTTTAGCACACATTTAAATATAAAAACCTTTCATAGAGTGAAAATCCATGCACAGCACTATTACTGAAAAGTTATTGAATGACTTGAGCCTGATGGTGGACAGGATCTGGGGAGTCAGGTGGTGAGAATCTCCAACTTATTGCCAATTCAGCAAAAATACATTCTGGTCAACAGTACCCTTCTGGATGTTGTAGGTGGGGAATTTAATGATGATAATGCTTTTGAAAGTTAAAGGAAGATGATCAGATTTTCTCTTGTTGAAGATGGCCATTTCCTTGCACATGTGTAGCATGAATTTCATTTGTTTTATTACTATCAAGAGGTCCCATAGTTATTGTTACGACAGGATAGTGTTTTTAATTATTACAACTAGTTTCAGACAAATTTTGAGTAAAATCTACCATACTAATTTTCTTTCCAATCAAATAATTTAAAATAATCTCTTACCTAATCACAGAATCTGTTCTGTTACATCCTGGAATGGAGGAAGCTTTTTCCCCTGGAGAACCAAGAATCTGAAGTGTTGTGTTAATGTCAACTTCAGTGGCATGCTTAATGGAATATTCCATTATCTCTGGAGGTATAAGAGGAGTCTCTCCCTGAGTATCATCAGCTAAGAGGTAGCCTGGTAACGTTAACAAAGACACCAGATTATAAGTACTGGTTTTGTATCCTATAATATTAATTTCATATTTATATTGATAGGCCACAATGTACATAGAGACAAAATAAATTTCATAGAACAAACTATTTCATGAAACAGAAAAAAATTATAATGCAACTGCTTAAAGCACACCTGTTCCTCCACACACATTGTTTTCCAAATCATGATCCTTCCAACTAAATGGGACCTTTGTTGTAAAGGTACGAATATCCTGCCTATAAATGTGGAGATATTCACAACAAAAATCCAAGTCCACCCACATCATTGCGAAAAACCAATCTGAAAGACTGTATGTATCTTCTTCAAATAATTTGTCTCCTTGAAGTGCTTTAGGAGGTGGCTAACTACTATTGCAGCTACCTATGATCTCAAATCAGCGCTCAACCTTACCGAGAATTGTCTCTCCTCCAGCATAATACATCCACTTGGATTCTCAGAATCATTAAGGTAGATTGTTATGTTAGCACATAATTTGAAATGATCATTTCAAAGCAATGTGCTGTACAGATTAAAGATTGTAAAAAAGTTTGTTTGGTGATTAGCAAGTTTAGTTACAGCTATGTTAGAGAATCTAAGTCAAAAAGAGAAATATAAACAACCATTAAAAACTTGAACTATTTAATATATTTAAAATGTTATAATCCTTCCCCCCACTTACAGACAACTTTTTTAAAAGAAGGGAATCACCACTACATCACTGGAAAGCAAAATCAATGGACAAGATATCATTTTTTCAAGAATTTATTGTAACAAGCAAATCAAACCAACAATTTAAACATTAATTTATGAATGAGACTACAAATAAAAAAATACATTTCATTCTAAATAGTCTATGCAAAGATACACCATACGAAACTACAAATTCTCCCTCTACGGAGGCACACAAAGCTTTAAGTTCAGTTACAGGGTCGTTATTCCCAGATGGAAATTCAGTTCTTTTATTCCAACAGGAGTTAGGCCCAAGTCCCTTCAGATAATAATCTCACCACAACAGACTCTCAAATTGCAAATGTTTCCAAGCCTCACCACTTGGCTGTCAGAATCCATTCTTGTCCTATTACCAGTGACATGTCTCTACTTCTTCACCAAGACCTGTGTCTGTGTTTTTTTTTGCAACTGTGTCTTGCTCCTGGATACAAATTCCTCAAGCTGTAATTAGATATCCCAATTATCATTATTAGCCTTTAAGCTCCATTCTGATAGGAACCTGAGGGAGAATTTATCTTTTCAGAAATCTAATTGCCTCATCGCCAAAATTAACTTAGTTTCACTTTGGACTAGATTTATCACAATTTATTCAGGAGTTAACTTACCCGTGACTAAAAGTAACCAATGAATATCCTCGTACAAATCATCTAGTACTTTATTATCCAATGATGCCGGCCCTGGTGATGAAAGAAACTGCTGTTGTTGCCTTTGTAGCTGACCATGAAGTCTTGTTACTCTATCTTCTAACAAGCTGCATCAGACAAAAGGTAATTCAGTTTATAAAATTACAGAATCCAGACAATGGCATTTAATTACTAAATATTTATAACAAGAAATCTCTAAACACTAATAAAAAGAAGTTATTCATTTTTGTTCCTGGTTGTAGCACATTGTGCACAGAGGAGCAACAGCTAGGATGCATGATTGGCTCTGTACAATTGTACTGGTGCAAAAATGGACACAGTGCTTATTGCTATGTTTTTAAATTGGTGAATTTAATGAAAACTGGAACACATTTCTAAGGAAAAAATACAAGAGAGGAGGGCAAATAAGACTTGACATTACACCATCACTGAATAAAAATCAAAAACTAACATTTATCATTCATCACATCATAATGCAAGATAAAATATGCTCTCATTTTTAGAAAATTTAAAATGTAGAAATGTTACAGTTATTGAATAATCTTATCAACAACTTGATCAAACATATATATCTCTATTCAACTCAATTCCGGATCATTTATCTTAACATATATTGTCCCCTGGAAAATATTAAATAGTCACAGGCTACAAAAAACATGTCAACCTCATGCACTACTATTAATAGAAAATTCCCATGAACAAAGGCATCATATTTCAGCTATATTTACACTTAATATCTGGCATCGTTCAATATAAACATTGTAGTCTTCTCTTTTAAAGTCTGATATAGGTGTCTATCAGGCACAGCACATCTTAGTGCAGCTTCTAGACTTTAATCCAACAGTTGCAAGAATCACTTTTACTCATCAGAAATATCATGGAGAATGTTGACCTGCATAATGAGATGTGACAACCCACTCTCAGTTTCCATTCAGAACACAGTTGAACATTACGTTGCTTACCATGAAGTGTCTTTCTAAGTTGTTCACTATCGCAGCAAGGTTTACAATATGCACATCTAATAACAAAAGGCTAGGAAAGCTGGGCTAACTTTGGATAGACTTTCAATCTCTGATTTTTTTTTGGACAGAGACAGAGGAGCTTCCAGAGACAAGAGACTATAGTTGACGTGGCCAGCAGAGAAAGCTGCAAGTTCTCTATGAACTACTGGGTCTAATCACAGTCTCTGGTCAAAATACCACATCCTTGGAACTTTAAAGATTTTGAATGATTTTGACCTGCCCAGACTGGGAAGAGAAATTACCAGCATTGATCTTACTGCCGGTAGTCAGGTCAAGAATTTGCCCCCATCATGGGAAATGCCTTTTAATAATTATTCATGATTATGACTAGATGAAGTAGGGAGGCATGAACCCATTAGAATCTGTTTTTGTGGAGAACGCTGTAACATAACTAGTTGCAACAAAACATCAGATTTGAGAGTTAGTTGTCTATTGAGTAAAGTTCAGTTAAGAGACAACAAGGTGCAGGGCTGGATGAACACAGCAGGCCAAGCAGCATCATAGGAGCAGAGAGGCTGACGTTTCGGGCCTAGACCCTTCATCAGAAAAGGGGGAGGGGAAGGGGGTTCTGAAATAAATAGGGAGAGAGTGGGAGGCGGATAGAAGATGGATAGAGAGGAGAGGATAGGTGGAGAGGAAACAAACAGGTCGAAGAGGCGGGGATGGAGCCAGTAAAGGTGAATGTAGGTGGGGAGTTAGGAAGGGGATAGGTCAGTCCAGGGAGGACGGACAGGTCAAGGGGGTGGGATGAGGTTGGTCAGTAGGAGATGGAGGTGCGGCTTGAGGTCGGAGGAGGGGATAGGTGGGAGGAAGAACAGGTTAGGGAGGCAGGGACGAGCTGGACTGGTTTTGGGATGCGGTAGGGGGAGGGGAGATTTTGAAACTTGTGAAATCCACATTGATACCATTGGGCTGCAAGGTTCCCAAGCGGAATATAAGTTGCTGTTCCTGCAACCTTCGGGTGGCATCATTGTGGCACTGCAGGAGGCCCAGGATGGACATGTCGTCTGAGGAATGGGAGGGGGAGTTGAAATGGTTCGCGACTGAGAGGTGCAGTTGTTTATTGCGAACCGAGCGTAGGTGTTCTGCAAAGCGGTCCCCGAGCCTCCGCTTGGTTTCCCCGATGTAGAGGAAGCCACACCGGGTACAGCGGATGCAGTATACCACATTGGCAGATGTGCAGGTGAACATCTGCTTGATGTGGAAAGTCAATGCTGGTTTTAGTTTTAAAACAACACAACTGCAGATGTTGGGGATCTGAAATAAACAAAAATAGAAATTGCTGGAGAAACTCTGCAGGTCTGACAGCACCAATGGAGAGAAAACTGAGTAAATGTTTTGAGTCCAGTGACCTGTTCTAAAGAGGGTCACAGGACTTGAAACATTGATTCTGTTTTCTCTCCACAATTGCCGACAGAACTGCCAACATTTTCCAGCAATTTGTTTTTTGTTTGTTTCTGGTTATAGTTTTGTTAAGGTTCTAAAACTCAGGTCTGGTAGTATCTGTGGAGAGAGAAGCAGAGTCTGGCGTGACTTCTTCAGAACTTCGGAATAAGGAGTGCGCTTGTTGTTTGGTCTCATCTGCATTGGCTTTGCTATAAAACCATTCCTAATTGACAGCATCATGTTACACCTCAACCTCAGTTTGCATGTGTTATCTCAATCCCACTAACTATACTAGCGAATTGATCTAAGTGAATGTACTATAGGAACAAGAAAAGGCTGACAAAGCAAAAATCATATTGTATTGATTTCACTTTAGTTTGATAGAGCCATGGAAATATATGACAAAGTAAGCTGCCATTTGGCACTTGGTGCCTGTAAATGTTCTTTTCCAGACTAATACAAAATTCTATTACTTTCTTGCTAACTCCCAAGATACCCATATTGTCCTCTGCTTCAAATGTTCCAGATTCAGTCTAGTAAGGTCAGACCGTTGACTCAGAAGTATAGATATGAGTTACACACAGGGGCCCAACAGAATCCCACTGTCGCAGCCTTTATTGTAGCAGAATTTGAAGATTCCACTGGGCAATTCCCCTTTAGTCAGAGCCTTCTGAAAATATCCATTTAAATCAGAGAATTTGGGAGGTTCAGCTGCAGTTCTGATTAGTTACACAAAAATTTGGACTATTAAAACCTTGACCAACTTCAGACTGAATAGTAATAATACACTTGCCCCAGACCCTGACTCGAAAAACCCAGCCACAGCACCCAACAGTTACATCCACGCTCAGAACCCAGAAACAACCCCTCTATGCCTGCAGTCTGACTAGCTTTGATAAAAGAATAGGAAATAAGTTTAGTTTTCACATTTAGTTGCTTTCAAACAAACCTGATGTGGTGTGTAGATGGCGGTAAAGTCAGAATTGAGCTCAGCTACGATAATCCCCATGAACTGATAGCCTATCATGCAGGCTACCATATAATTGCCTCTTGGACACAATACTGGAAACAGATCATCATCAGTGTTACTGTTTCACAGGCAATGTATTCAGGATTGGGCAGTAATAAAACTGGGAAATAATTGATCAATTCTCAATCTGATATTTCAGGGAAATATTAATTACTGTCCAGAACACATACTTGAAATGCTTTTAATTGCAACCAATTCCATGGTGATATGACTCTAAGATTTTGAGATAATAATTTAGGTCAGTTGTATCAAATTCCTGTACCAGTATTTTATAAACCTACCTTATAAGAAGAGGTATGCAGTGGTCTGCTGCTATTCTTCCTAGCATGCCTATACTTGCCAACTGGTCTGAGAACATCTCTCGGTCATCTTCTTGAATCTCACTGATTTCTTCTTCATCACGTGACGTTACACCATTGGTGGTCTGTATAAAGACAAAAATTAGATATTGGAAGTTTTTTAATCTTCAACGTAAAGTTCTATGGTAAATTTGTTTACCTAAAATATTAAACATCAACTGACTACATATTTTGCCTCATTATTTTTACTTTTCCCTGAAATGGAAAAGAATGGGAATAGGTTACTTTTTTTAATTTTTAAATGATTTCCTAGATGGTCGTGGAGAGTATCAAGTATAATTAACTTTTTATATTGCCCCTTTTTCCTATTCTGAACTTCACCCGGACAAACTTGCTCTAATTCTTCCCCTGCCTTTCTCCAGTTTCAAGAACATAACAGACCAAAAGTCTGTCCATTTCAGCCTAATACATATTTAATAATGGTCCACCAACATTCCTCTGAATAAAGAATTCAAAATATTGATAACAAGTGAAAATGCTTCTCCCGATGTCCACTTGTCCGTCCTTGGCATGCTGCAATGCTCCAGTAAAACACAGTGAAAACTGGAGGAGCAACATCTCACCTTCAAACTAGATACGTTACTACCTTCTGGGTTCAATACTGAGTTCAACACCTTCAAATTGCTTTGCTTGTTACATTCTCTGTCACAGTGTTCTCCTGTCCCCTCTCCCCACCCTAGTAGAACCATCTGTTATTTCCAGTCTGATAGTTAGACACACCATTGTTTTGTCAATCTCACATTCCAATCACTTATTCTGAACTATCAACATCCTTTCTCCCAGAGCATCCACCCTCCCACTCCGTTATTGCGTAAATGTTGCCCCCTCCACATTTCACTTCAGGTGTGGTCCTTCCAAAGAACCAGATAATTGTTGCGAGATTCGTGATTCCTTTAAACTTCTTACCTTTAGCCCCATCACGCCCTCTTTGAGCCCCTCTTATCCACAAGCTTAACCTCTACTCCACCAATGCTATTCCTACTTAAACTGCTGACCACTCAACTTCCTACCCTGGTCACCATGTTAATTGCTATTGTTAACAGTTCTCTCTTCAGATTTAGTCCTCTCTGTCAGACAGGACGAACAAAAATTTCCTCCAAATATCAGGAAGATGAAAGCTACTATTTTTCATTCTTTTCTTTAGGTACCAATTCCAACCCTCTCCCATACAAGCGTGCAAGATTAAACTGTTCACAAACCTAGGATCAATTTGATCCCAAGGTGGGGTTCTGGCCTCATTTTCACACCATTAGCAAAATTCTGCATCTCCATAACAATGCCAAATTATGCAGTGTCTCAGCCGTGCCTCTAAAGTTGATTATTCCAACATTGCACCTTCCATTAACTTAAGGTTATCCAAAGCATTGCTGCCCATGTCTTAACTTGCACCAAAACCCATTAACAAATATCCCCGATCTTTATTTGGTGCCAGACAAGTAATGACTTGATTTTTAAATTTTCATTTTTGATTTCAAATCCCTCCCTGACCTCCTCCCAACTCCATAACCTCTTCTATTTCCACAATCTTGAGAGATATCTGGGCTCTTGAGCATCCACAATTTAAAATCACTCCAGCATGGATGGCTATGCATTCAGGTGCCCAGGCCCTAAGGTTTGCTTTACCCTACCTACCTCATTTCCCTCCTTTAGGATACTCCTTATAACTTACCACTTTAGCCAAACTTCTGGTCATCTAATCTAATATCTCCTAATATGGCTGGGTTTCGTATTTTGTTTTTACAACTTTCCTTGGAAGCACCTTATGAAGCTTTATTGCGTTAAAAGCACTGACAATATACAAGTTATTGTTCATTATGCAATCTGAATAAGATAACTGAAAATTGAGTAGACAAACACTTTTTAATTCTAACTCAATATGCCATAAGTAAAATATGCTTCAGTTAATATAACTTGTGTATGCATACATTACTATTAACAGTAAGGAACACTTGTACCAGAAGAACTACTTGGAATCTGTGGTCAACATTAATTCACGTTTCTATCCCCATGTTTTTAAAACCTATGTAGTTCTTTTGAGTCAGTTCTTTCAAAGAATATGTACAACAAACTATGTGGAGATTATATACAGAAGTTTTTAACCTAATGCAACCACCACTTTCCCCAAAAAGATTGTGAATTTGAAAATACATAAAAGTCATTGACTATGTTAAGTGCAGAAATATTGAAAGTAGATGAAGTAAACCAAGCAGCCCCTCAAGCCTGCACAATTTAACAAGCCAATGGCTTATCTCCTGACTCAATGCCATTTTCCCACACTATCCCTGTATCCCTCACAACTTTACTTCTCTAGAATTCAGTTTTGAATATACTTAACGATTGAGGTTTCACAACCCATTAGGGTAGAATATTCCAAATGTTCATCACCGCCAGAGTGAAGATTCCTGATCTCAGTCCTGAATGTCTAACTCCCCAACAGAAGCAGCCTTCTTGCATCTACCCTGTACTCCTGAAAGAAAATTGTGTGTTTGAACAAGATCACCTTTCATTATTCTGAACTCTACAGAACACAGGCTGAGTCGCTTTAATATCCCGACAAGGAACTCTTGTTTTTTAAAAAAGAAAATACAGTACAGTGGTGTACCTCTACACCCCGTGAATAGCAGCAGTTCAAGGAGCAGCCTACCACTAACATGGCCAGAACCAATTGGGGACAGACAATAAATGCCATCTAATCAGTGTCGGAAACATCCACAAATAAAAACTAATATTTCTTCAATCTCAAGGATTAGACTGGTGAATCTTTGTTGTACTCCTGTGGAAAGTAGACGAATATTATTCTTCCTTAGGTGGGGCCAAAACCATATGCAATCTTTCAGGGGTGGTCTCATCAAGGTTCTATACAATTCTTTGCACCTCTGCTCAAATACTCTTGGATTAAAAGGTCAACACACCATTTGCCTTTCTAATTGCATGCTGAACTGCATACTAGCTTTCAGTGACTCACGAATGAGGACACATTTCCTTTCAGACATCAATGGCTCCCAATCTCTTTTCATTTAAGAAATACTCTAATTTTCCTACCAAAGTGGAAAACTTCACATTTTTCCATATTCTATTCAATCTGCCATGCTATTGCTCTCCCAGCCTGTCTAAATGCCATTGCAGCCTCTTTTCCATTCACTTCCACCTAAATTTGTGTCATCAACAAACCTTATGCTCCATATCCAAATCATTGATATTGTTTGTGAATAGCTGGAGCTCATGCACTGATTTTTTGCAATACCCCACTAGTTATAGCATGCCAACCAGAGAATTAACTGATTATTCCTACTGTTTTCTGCCTCGTGATCAATTCTCATTCTGTATCAGTATATTACCATATCTCATGTGCTGACAGGTGTGTGACTATAGTTTGTCTGTTAGCCAAATTTACTGCAAGTTAATTCTCAATGATACAGTATACATTGTGTATATCTATTACAGATTGCGCTACTATTCTAACTCTGTATCGTAAAATTCACTTTGTTTGTTCAAACCATGGAATCTTGCGGCTTTATCATCTTAGTACCTTGTCTATTTTTTGAAGAAGTTTTTCTTGTCACCTGCCAGGCAATGACATGTTAGTTTGATATGTGATCTTAACAGCATCCACTGGCTCTCTTTTATCTGTTTGTAACATCTTCAAAATACTCTTAAATGGTCTGTCAAACAGTATTTCCTTTCATAAATTCATGTTGAATTTCCCAATCCTACTAATATTTTCTGTGTGCAGTTAACACATTCTCTATCATAATGGATTAGCAGAGATCAAATTTGCCACACAACACATTACAAATTGATCACAGCTGTTAGTGAGCATAACTCCAATTCACACTGCACGTATGCACTTCAGCTTTTAAAAAGTTACACGTCACAGCAACTCCTCTGGGGCAGTGGCAGTCTCTCCATCTCTGGATTAGTAGCATTGTTTCAAGTTTCATTTGCTCCAGAAGTGTTTCATACCATGTCTGCACAGGTTGGCTATAATGTCTACATGTCAGTCACATTCAGAAACTCAGTTAAATGAAGGGCTTCCTTCATCCTTTAAGGGTTCAGTACTTCTCAGGTAAATACACAGTTAGCAAATCCCACATGAATTGGGTCACTGGACCCAAAAAATTAACTATTCTTTCTCTCCACATATGTTGCCAGACCCGCTGAGTTTCTACAGCAGTTTTCATTTTATGTTGCAATCATTTTTTTTACTGAGTAGATGGAAATGAAACTCTACATAGATTTCTGTTCCCGAGCAGCTACTACCCAAATAATAACATAAATGAAACATTGAAAAAAGATTTAGGAAATCTAGTTAATGCGCTATGGATTAAATTACATTTTTCAATAGCCTGGAATCATACTGCAATACGTGACCTCAGGGGTTTTGGAGAGATCTCACTCTTGGCTTTAACACAGTCAGGACTGGGCAACGTGGCCAACTAAAACCAGATCACTAAGACAAAAGTAGCAGTATAATCGCAGCATTATTAAACTGCCTGGGCCATTTTTCATTTTAGCTAATTTTTGCGTTTCTTCTAAAATTTGTGGATTGTTGGGTATAATTTATCCTGGGTAAAAATACAAAGACAAGACATGGAAAGTTGTTTACAGTTTTATGTAATTAACCAATCCATTAATGCTTGATGGAAGCTAGAAGTAGGCTACAAGTTGCACAGATGAGGCATTTTCTTTCTCAGAGAAAGGGAATAACTTTTGGCACATCCTAATGATCTGTTTACAAACAGCATTAGCAGAAACCTGGGTATGGTCTGGCCTTCACCCAAGGCAGTTGTGTTATACATATTGTTGATGACTTTTTGAAATACTTTATTTGATTCAACATTCTTTGAAATAACTAGAGACCTTTAACATATTGTTCCGGGGTGGTACACTTGCAGTCTCACCTGCCAAATTGGCTTAAAAATGTTACATCTTTAAAAAAAAAGCAAAATTATTAAGTGCAAAATGTGGCAACGTTTTCCATCCTCCCTATTAAATGGTACTGAGGAAGCTTACATTTTAGCAGAAAATGTATTTATCTCCAATAGTAAAGTTTACAATTTGAGCA